TGTTGAAAAAATTATAAAAGAAAGTTTCTATACTAAAACTAAATAAAAAATAATTGAGTTAATTAAATAATTTAATTATTGCTAATTCATAAACCAAATTATTGTAAAATGGCATAAGAAAAATTTATTTCTTTCTTAGTAGAAACTATATGAGTTAGCTAAGAAAGAAATTAATTATATGTATTTAAATTGATTTTTAATACTAAAATAAATTGCATTTCAGCTAGTCACTTATAATTTATTAAAATATATTAGAATCAACTACTTTAAATTCTTTAATATTTGTGTTCAATTTAAAATGAAATTTATGTTTTAGTTTTATCTATTTTTTTGTTTTTTCTTATTTTTGCAAAAAATATTTAGCTTAACTAAATTTAACTTTTTTACAATTTGGCTAATTAAATAAATTTTAAATTTATCTCATATTATTAAAGACAAAAAAAAAATTGAAAACTTTATATAAAACTCAACCTCTAATAAATTTAAATGCTTTATTTTTTTTTAATTAATTAATTATTTAAATTAATTAAGGAATTTGAATTATAAAAAATATTTGAAATAAAGGTTATTAATTTTATAAAGTATTTTTCCATTTATTTAAATTAATACCCCTTTTACTTACTTTTTTAGAAGCTTAACTTAATATCTAAAGCTAAAAATTCAAAATTTCAGTGTTACTGAAAATGGCTATTAAAGAAAATTAAAGCTCTTATATTAATCAAATAAGTTAAAAAAAACTCTCAATATCAAACAAAAATATACTTTTTCTAATAAACAAATAAGTATAGAATTCGATTTTCAAAATAATTTGCCAAGAGACTTAAGTAAATTTAAAAACATTTGGAAAAAGAAACAAATAATAAATAATGAAAAATTAAAAAAAATCAAAGTGAAAATAAAGTTGTGAGCTTAACTTTTTTCTTTATTTTATTAATTAAAACAAACTAAAATATCAAAGAATTTCAATTATTATTGGTATTTGTTACAAAACTTTATTATATATTGTAAGATATCAGATTATTTAGTAGCATAAAATTATTAATTCAAACTATTTATCTTTTAGATTCACTAATTGGAACATTTATTTTTGAAAGAAGAATAATAAAAAATAAATAATAAGGAAGCAAGTAAATAAAAATAAATAAATAGCTTTATCAAGATATATAAATAGATACTATCAAATAACTAACTAATATTAGAAAGTAAATAATGAAAATTAAATATTTTATATTACTAATCTGTAATATCACTCTATGCTATGCTGCGTTACCTATCAATGTTGTCAGCTATGGTTTTAAATTACTGTAAGTTTAAAATTTTGTTAGATTTTAAAAAGATAATCATGTTAATTTGAATAACTTAAAGGAAGATCAAAGCATTATTTACCTTGACTCTGATTAAAATCAATGGGTATATAGTAGATTAAATTAAAACGGTGATATTATTCTTTCAATTAAGCTCAAAGGTTTTATGGGAAAATCTAGTTTAAATGACGAATATATGATTGAAGTAATTTAATTGTAGCTTCTACATTTCAAAATATAAATTTAATTTATTGATTGATACATATATTCCTAAAATATAAAAAATAGCCAGATAAATCTAATCACCGCTATCTCTATATATTTAGTTATTTTTAAGGGCAATATCAATAAATAGATTACGAATTATTATTATAAACTCAAAATAATTAAGAATTCGATTGTAAGAATGATATTAAATCATATGGAGATAGAAATACAAGATACTTAAAAAGAGTATTCATTTTTAGTTGATTGCTTTTTAAAATATATATTTCTTTTTTATTATTTAAATTTAGGATTCATTATATCTGAAAGGAGGCAATTTAAAAATAAGCTAAATAAGTAAAATGTTCTCTCCTGAAGATTAACTAACTCAATAAGTTATTAGGTTTTAGAAAACTCCATATTACTTCTATTATTAAGAGTCTACTAGTCAAATAAATTATTTTTTTTGGAAAGGCAGCAAGTATCAAATAAATACTTATACAAGATATCTGGTTGTTGATGTAATTAATATTAAAATAAGTTTAATCAAAATTAATTAATTTTTAGTATGAAAATGATATAGTTTTAACTGATGCCAGAATATTAGGAAAATTTAGTTTTGAAAAGGATGTTATTGAATTTAAATAATAAATATAGTTAAAAAATGGTTTAGATAAAATAGCCCTCACTGAAATATATACAGTTAATCAGGTAATTTTTAATGATTTTTCTCTTTAAAATAAATTAAAAAAAGTAAAATTAACAAAATTTAAAAAACTTATATCATCATTTTTTTCCATCTTCTTTTAAAGATGGATAAAATTTTTTATTGATAAAACAAAGGTAGTCAAAATTATTAAAATTTATATTTATCTTTAATAAATAAATAAAAATAGGTTAAATTGATTGGAATTAATGATGATTCTCTAAAATTTTATGATCTAAACACTTTTCAATAAGTTAGCTTAAGTAGTAATAGTGATCAAATTGGATAAATTGATTATTTTAATGAATTATTTTTACATAAAAATTTAATTTTTGTCAAAACTGATGTGTATAAAATGAGTTATGACCAAGCAAGCAACGAAGTTATCTTAAAAAAATTAAAATCTCTTAATAAAAAATTAAATCTGACATAAAAAACAGCAGATGATGCAATATGGGCAACACCATTTACATAAGTAATTTTTTACAATAAAAATTCGATTTTAAAAAATATATTATTTAAGGGATAAACAAAAATGTTGTAAGTTGATGGCTAAAATCAAATAATTTCTATGGAAAGAATCATATGTTAGGATGGATAATTTTTGACACCAAAGTAATTTTTAATAGTTTATTTATTGTATTATAACATATACATTTAATTTTAAAAATAGTTCAGATTGCCTATAATGTAAAACAGATGAAGTATTTCAGATGTAAATTTTCAATACAGTATTTTGATTCCAAGTATCCTATTTCTTAAATTTTTAACTAAAAGTATCTAATTATTTTAAAATATAAATGAATAAGGATACTTGTCATTAAAATACTGTATGTATCTAAAAAATTATTAATAAAATTAATTAATTAAATTATTATCATAAATTAAAAGTGATAAATGTGTCAGCTGTCCTCAAGGTTCAAAAAAATTGTAAAATATTTTATTTCAGGAATTTATTAATAAATTTGATTTTTATAAACTTATAATTAGAAATATAACTGATAATATTTGTATTCCTTGTGATTAGCCCACTGCCTAAAAATCTTGTGAATGCCAAAATTACAATTACTAAAATTCTTCGTAACAAAAATTAGTTTCATTACTTTCAAACAAATAACATAAAAAAACAAAAATTTTAATAGTCAAAAATGCATCCAATGCTAGTCTGGTTAATAATTTAATAAGTAAATAATTATTATAAATCAAGATTCCTTTAAGTTTACTTTTTTATTTATTAATTTATTAAGGACTAAAGACTCTTGCGATTAAATATGTGATGATGGAAGTTTTTTTAAGTAAAAAATTAAATTATGTAAAATTAATGAAATAGAAGCTATCTATTTATAAAATTTCATGATTTAAAAATAATTAAATGTTATTTCAAATAAAAATTTTATTATATTTTGTTATTAAAATTAAATTAATTATTACTTTTTTTGAATTATTTTTAGATTAATAAATTGATTTTATTAATTAATTTATATATTATTAGTGGCTCAACTTGCTAAAAATGTACAAAAAATTGTATTAAGTGTTCGAATGATAAAACTTGTGATTAATGTGATGAAACAAATGGATATTTTTTAGATGCTAATAAGTTAAAAATTAAATTTTATCATTAATTTATCTTAATTATTATTTATTTTATTAATTAGATAAAATTGCTTTAAGTGTGATCAGAATCTTAATTAAATTTTAAATAATCAGTAAAATAATTTTATTTTTTATTGAAAATTATTTGATATTCTTTATGTTAATAGGAAAAATGGATGTGATTGTTAAAAAGGTTATTTTTTAGACACTGATTCTTAATGCAAAAAGTGTAAAAAAGGGTGTGATGATTGTGATAAAAACAAATGTAATTAATGTGTTGCTGGATATTATAAAATGTATAAAATTATTTGAATTCTATCCCAAGCAAAAAATACTACACTATCACTTCAGTCACACCACTCATCATTTTTTTAAATTTTTATATTTTTTTTGGGGAGTATTAAGTGAGTTTTTGTTCTTATTTTACTAACTATATCTATTATAAAAATATTCATAAGATGAATTTATATATTAATCCTTTATTTTTATATTTGTTTTTTCATTTACTCATCTAAATTAAATTATCTAATAAAATATTTAGTTATGTATTTCAAAAAAAATTTAATATATTTTATGTCTTCTATTAATATTATTTATTCTTAAACTAGCATTTCTGCTTTATTATAGCTTAACCTTGACCCTCTTTCTAAAATGATCAAACAATGATTGTACAAAATAGATCCTTTGAGAATTTTTACTAGATAAAAATATACATAAATAAATACATACATTTAAGAATGAAAGGATAAATCAGGAAAAAAATTAGAAATTTTTTCTATTATAAAATTAATTATTCATAATTATTTTAGTAAAAATTCATATTTTAAAAATTATTTTTTATAAATTTAAATAACACTCGAAAAATATAAATTACTTTAGGTATCCATAAATTATTACAATTTATTTATTTATTATTCTTATTTGAATAAATAACAGTTCATCACTTTTCTTTTTTGAGATAAAATTGAACAAAATACATATCAAAAACTTCTACTAATAAAAAGATTACTATCTAATATTTTAATAAGACTAAATAGACTTTAAGAATCTATGGGCATTTTAAGTTTTGACATTTTCTCATCTACATTTTAATTCAACTTATTCTAATAGTAAAAAGGTAAAAAAACTTTATTAGGTGCATTATTATCATTGTTAGTAATAATAGCATTTTTATGCTACTTAATTTATCTACTGTATTAGTATTATGATAATTAAATTTAACCTACATTTAGATCATAAAATTTTGTTTAGGATTTTACTAGTGTTGAATTGAGCAATGATCTATTTGCATATTAATATAGATTCAATTTAACTCAGAATTTAGATGATATTTAGGAATAGCAAAACTTAACTTACCTGGTTTTTGTGCCTTATTTTTAGTACACAAATTATACTGAAAATGAATTTATTTACATTAATCCTATTAAATGCTAAAACCCTTTGCTTGATGGATTCAATTGTTTGGATTTTTCTTTGATTTAAAACTATAGCCTTATTAAAACATAAGGCAATAAAATTTGGTCATCAATTTATCTCACTATTTACACTTGTTAAGATGCTATCATACAATTTGATCTGCAATTAAATTGTGCTAATGAATAAGAAATTTATAAAATGATTAATGATGGTAGTAACATATTGTAAATAAAACTATTAAGTAAATAATACAATATAGCTTCGAAATAAATTTAAGTTAATTATAGAAATTCTTTTACCTCTCTTAATTAAAATGAATTTATGCTGACTGATTTTAAACTTTAAATGCAATAAACTTCAATTAAATAAGGATCAATTTTTCAAGAAGAAACAAAATTTTAATCTCCTATTTCGTATTCTCAAATAATCTAAAATTTTAGTAGAAAAGACTAAATCAACTTAAATAATAATCCTGCATTACTTGAATTGGTTATTGAAATGGATGAAGCAGTTTAATTTTTTTTTATTTAGTTTCCAACCTTTCCAGAAATTTTGGCTGTTTGCAACAGCACTTTAGCTCTTATGATGTGTGTAGGAATTTTAGGCAGATATGCTTCATCTCAATTGATAAAATAAGAATTTTTACTACTCTTCTTATAAAATTTGTATCAAGAAACATATTTAAAGCTATTGAGCAACGAATTTAATAGTGAAAGCAAGAAATAAATTGAATCGTAATCTTAAATAGAGTAATAAAAAGAAAAATAAACTCCTTTTTAAGTAGACCAACCATCAAAAGTGCCATAATTTTAAAGTAAATTAAAATAATATTTAGACCAAAACAACTTTTCTTACATTTAGCAATAATCAGAAAGCAGAGTGTTTAATTTTAGAAATGAGTAAAAAAACAATATTTAAAATAAATCTGGTTTTAACTTTTAAAATATGATAAGTGCTGTCTCTTAAAAAGATAAATCAGAATCAGAAGGATATAATAAGTCTTTTTTATCTTCGAATTGTCAAAGTTTTAATTAGCTAGAAAACAAAAAACCAATAAATTAGAATAGAGGCATAAAACAACAATAAAATGAATATTAAAGTTAAAAGCAGCAAATACCAAGTTCTTCAAATATTGAAATACCTTAAAATATTTAATTGCTTTGTAAACAATCAGCATTAACTAAAGACTATGAAAAAAAATAATAGACTACAGATTTGTAAACATATTAAGATCCTTGTAATGCAAAAATATTTGATGAAAATTAAAAGTTAAAAGTTTTAATGGACAGAAATTCAGCTTAAAGGACGCTCTTTTCTTTGCAATAAATGAAGTAAGTAATTAATATATTATTAATAACATATCTTAAATATTAAACTTTGAAAAAAAAGCCCATGTAAAAAATAAAAATACCTTAAATTACAAGGAGTGAGTTTGCCACTATTTAAAAATTTAGAAAACGAGGTTGAAAAAAGCTTGAATATTTACAATTTTTATAAAGAAGTAATTTTTTTAAAGAAAGCAGTTATGATGCTTTTAAGTAAAGATCAGTATGCTGCAATAAACTTCATAGGGTATTCTGAAGAATTTTGTAAATAGTTTATGAGTGAAGATAATCAAAATATTGATCTTAAAAGTAAATTAGATATACTTATTATTATTAATTTTATTCAGTTATCTAAAGTCAAATTTTAGGATAAAAAGGTAATCTGAGTTACTTTGAAGAATAATGCTTGATTTCTAATAATCATATTGAATAATTTAATTAAGCAAATTACTTTTTTAAACGATCTAAGGAGAAATCTATTTTAAGTAAAATAGATAAAAGAATACTAAATTCATTAAATTTATACCATCCTAATTAGTGAATGAATTCATATACATTAAATATTTAAATAATTTAGCTATATTTTAATTGTTATTAAATACCAAATTTTATTAAATAGAATTTGTATTTTTTTATGATCATTAAAAAATTTTTCGAAAAAGATTGATAAAAAAAACATAAGCATCATTAAAATTAATTTTGATTTTAATTTAAAAGAGATAATTAAAAAATTTATATTTCTAATTTTAATTAAATTATAATTTTGCTTTCTTTTTTAAAATAAATAACTAACTCTTGATTTATTTTTTTTTTAAATATTGATTTACCGTAGAATACCCACCCGTTAAGTCGCAAATATAAAAGCCTGAATTTTTCTTATTTTGTCTATCACATTTAAGATATCAGAAATTCCTAATTTAATTTCTGAGGACTAGCTAGACATCTGATTATGGTAGATATATTTTCAGCTTTTTTAAATAATTCTGATGAGAATATTTTATTAAAATAAAAAATCAAATAGATTTTATTTGATTAATGAAATGTTTACAATTGCTCAGCTAACTAGCTGGTTTATAAAATTAATGAAGAAAACAATAAGTTTGATTTAATTATAGTTTGCTTATTAACCATATTTTATAGGATTTCTGATTGACTTTCAACACAAGCAAGCAATTGTATTTATAAATAAATATTAGGCTTGCTTGAAAAAGGTTATTAACCAATAAAAATTAAAATAAATAAATAACTAACTAAAGTTTAATAATTTTTATGAATTTTTAATTAATGTATGAATAATAGAGCAAATAATATATAATAATTAGTTTAAAGCTTCTAAATTAAATATTAACTAAGATTATTCAAAATTAATTACAGCAAAATATATATTTTTACAAATAAGTTTAAAATATTTCATTAACATTCGACAAAATAATTTATTTGCTTTTAATAATCTTTAATACTTTTCAGAAAGCTAATAAGATAGCAGTAAAAGCCAAAGCAAATTATATAATTTTACCAGAAGAAGGAGCATCATTAGTGTTATCCTTATTTTCAGCCTTTGCTTCTTTATTTTCTTCCTTCTTTTCTCCTTCAGCCTTCTTCTCATCTTCAGCCTTCTTTTCATCTTCAGCCTTCTTCTTATCATCTTCAGCCTTCTTCTTATCATCTTCAGCCTTCTTTTCATCTTCAGCCTTCTTCTTATCATCTTCAGCCTTCTTTTCATCTTCAGCCTTCTTCTTATCATCTTCAGCCTTCTTTTCATCTTCAGCCTTCTTCTTATCATCTTCAGCCTTCTTCTTATCATCTTCAGCCTTCTTTTCATCTTCAGCCTTCTTCTTATCATCTTCAGCCTTCTTCTTATCATCTTCAGCCTTCTTTTCATCTTCAGCCTTCTTCTTATCATCTTCAGCCTTCTTCTTATCATCTTCAGCCTTCTTCTTATCATCGTCAGCCTTCTTTTCTTCATCGGTCTTTTCACCAGTTGCACCAGTTTCAGGAGCTTTAGGTTCTTTTGCTTCATCACCTTTAGGTTCTTTTGCTTCATCACCTTTAGGTTCTTTAACTTCAACAGCAGTTTTATCGTCAGTAGGTTTGGCGTCTCCTTCAGCAAAAGCAGTGGCCAAAAGGAGGGCAGCAATAAAGAGTACAAATAATTTCTTATTCATTTCTGTTAGATTTGATTAGATTAGGTTGGTTTATTTTTTTTTATTTTATGATTTAATTATAATAATTTATAGATTAATTATGAGTATTTAAAGAGAAGGAATGAGATGTGAAATTTTAATAATAAATTAACTAAAGTAAGAACAAAGTGATTTTAATAGTTCTATAAAAGCTTATGCATTAATTTATTAAATTTTATAATTAATTTTGACTGTATTTGAAAATCGAGAAAAATTTATTTGTATAAAATATTATGATTTAAAATAGAAGAAAGACAAATAAGACTCCTTAATATAAATTTAGAAAAAGTTTAAATAAAAGTAATTGAAACATTTTGAGTAAAAGTAAACTTTCTAAATATTTGTTATAAGGATAAATTTACTTGATGAATTAATAGCAATAGAAAGTTAACATTTTTATTAGTTTATGTATACAAATATTTGATAATTTGATTAGCTTATTTATTAATTTTTAGTGTAAGTTAAAAACAATCGATAATAGTTAAAACATCCTTTTTAAATTGTAATAGTAAGTATTTTTAGTAATATTTTGTGAAAAAATAAAAACAATATTTGTTTATTCAGTCTTTTATTAAAATTAGTAATTCAAACTTAAATTTTGTTTCTATACCATTTATTTTAGGTAACATAAAGTAACTTAATAAGGTTTGATATTTGAAATGCAAGCAGAATTTAGCATTTTTAAGTAATAAATTTTTTGTAAACATTAAAAAATAAGATAATGTAAAGCAAATTAAATTGAAATTTTTGATTTGCTAAATGAAGGTTATAGAACTAAATTTAACTTAAATCCGCATTAATTAAATTAAATAATCACAAAAATAGATATTAATAAGTGCTCAAATAAGTTTTCTAAAGTGTCTATAACAATTAATTTAATTTTATCTTAATTTAAAACTTTATTCTTTATTTTATTGAAGTATTTAGACTTTTCCATTTAGTTATTATAATACGATTTTACTAAGTATCCCTTACGGCAATAAAAATACGTAGGTAGATACAAAAATGTTAAATTATAATAGTTAATTTTATACCATAACAATAAATAGTATGAATAAATGTATTTGTTTCCTTAATATTAAATTCAAACTATTGGTAACTATTTTCTAATTAATATTCTGATGCAGTATGAAGCATTTAGTTTTTGAAAATCTATAAAGTAGAACCTATTCAGAAAAAGACAAAAAGCTCACTACTAATTAACTAAGATTTTTTTACAAACAGTGAGTAAATTAAAAACTATCTATTTAAAAATAATTTACTATTAAATTATTACCTGTTTACAAAATAATATCCCAGACAATCACAAACAAACAAATAAAATGAAATATTATTATTGCATTAACTTTTTCAAATATTTTTTGGTTACTTTTTATCAAAATTTAATTTAAGAAAAAAACGAATGTAATGAACTCTAAATAATTTATTTCATGCTCAACATTCTCAATTAATTAATTTTTGACTTAAAAAATAATGTAAATAAATATTTAAAATTATTTAATACAATATTGAATGTGAGAAAATTAAGGAAATTTGTTAAAAATTTAATGAAAATTAAGTAAAATTTTACTCAATCAATAACTAACTAATTTAAATTTAGTAAATAAATTAAATTCTCCTTTTAACTTTTGGAAATTAATTAATATTAGTCGCTCTTTAATTAACTAAAATCAAATAAAAATGTATTAATTTCAAGAATGAAATAATTTTTTCATTACTATGAGAGTTTGTTTGAAAACAATGTTAAAATTTTTAAAAATAAATTGAGCACGCTGTATAAATTGTAATAATACCATTTATTTAGATAATTTATCATAAGTTATTAGAACTATGTTGGCGGAGACATGATAAATTTTATTAGATATTACCTAATATTAACAATATTGATTAAAAGATAAAAATGCATACTTTTCTTTTCATCTTTTCTGAGAGCCAATATATTTAAAAAATGTAGATATTTATTAGAAAAAAGAAAGTACTAGTTAATAATACTAAATATGACAAATATAAAAATAAAAATAAAAGAATTTTATCAATAAAATTGGCTGAATATGAAAATACTTTTATACTAAATATTTATATTAAGTAAATAGAGTACACTAACATTTTTTTGTATTTTTAAATGAGCAAAGGATTCATCCAAATTTCATTTTTATATTTATTTACTTCTTAGTTTTTTTCTTGTAAAATTGTAAAAGAAAGAATTAATTTGGTAGGAATTATATAATTTATATTAATATTTATAATCGTATTATTTTTGAATTCAAAGAGATTAATTTTATTTAGAATAAGAAAAAAAGTAGACAGACAGTTCAAAAATATTTTGTATTTTCTAATTATCGCTTTCAAAAGGAAAAAAATTAAGTAGAACTGATGCTTGTCAGTTTCTACCAATTTACTTTACTTGAAAATATAAGACCATAGAATTAATTAATTTTTAATAGTACTATTTATTTGTATAATCAAAGCTATAAATAGCGCTATCAAATCACAACTAAATTTTCTTAAAGAATTTTAGAATTAAATCTTATTTCAATAATATTTATTGCTTTCAAAAAAAATAATTTCTGAATAAAATATATTTTGCATTTTATTTATAATTTATCATAAATATTCTGGCAAATAATTATTTCTATAAACTTTGTAAAAATACATTTTAAAGAAAATATGTAAAAGAAACAAAATACTTAAAACAATTAGCATAACCATAATAAATATTTTGGGTAATATTAAATAAAATATTTAGTAAAATCTTTAAAGTTAGAGAAGTTATTAATTCATATTTGATATCATGCATAGATAAATATTATTTTAGATATTAATTTTAGCAAAAATTTAAAAAATTTAAACAAAAAAAGTACAATAATGATGATGATGATAATATGTATGCATTCAGCATAGTAACCTACAAAAAATGTTGATTTCAACCATTTTTTTAATAATTTTTTTGTTTCTTAGTTTCGAAAAAATTTAATAAGAAATAAATAAATATTTCAAAAGTACTTCAATTTTATCTTATAAAACATTCAAAAATTTTAGAGTATAATTTTAAATATGCTAGAAAATAAAATATTTCATAGATCTTTGAATTCAGCCATTTAAAGTTAAAAAAAATTATTTTCAAATTAGATGAAAGGTAGATAATTAATTAAATGCATTTAAATTTAATTTAATAACTCTAATATTTAAAAATAAATAGCAATTTTTCATTCATTCTAAGAGTTCAGAAAATTTATAAATCCTAAAAATATTGAAAACAGACTCAATAAAAGAAAGAAAAATGTTGCTGATATATTAAAATAAATAAGATGTTTTATTTTTTACATTTATTGATAAATTTTTCTTTGAATCTACACAAACAGATTCTAAATAATTATTATTTATCTTTTTGTGACGCTTATTAATTTATAAATCATCATTCATTATTACTATTTTTGCAGCGCACTTAACAAATCCACTTAAGACGCCTTGGTATAAAAGAAATGAAGTATATTTTTATGCTGAATCGAATATTCACTTGCTTAACTAAGGTTTATATTAGAAAGAATTAAGAGAATAATCATAGTACAAAGAAAGTTTTCATGCTTTTATTTAATTATTCGTTATTGTTTCTTGTAGATTTAATTATTTTGATCTAGTTACTACTATTAAAATTCTTTAATTCAAAATAAATTTATGAATAATTCGTTTAAATAATAATAATTGTATAAAATTTAATCTATTTTTATTGAATTATATCATTTAAATAAGTATAAAATAAAAAATATAAAACAAACAGGCAGACAGACAGACATACTAATCTACTAATAAGAAAATTTCTTTATATAATTAACCATTCATTATGTGAAGGAACTTATTAGATTTGGTCTATCTTTAAATTAAAAATAAATGATTCTAGTATTTGCAAAATAATTATTAAAATTTTTTTAATTATCATTCTTGTCTTAAAATAAAAAAATATCCTTTGAAGGTTTTGTTCTAATGAAAGTTATGGATCAATCAATCAACCAATCATATTTTTAGAACTAAAAGCAAATAATTTACAAATATAACAAACATGAATAAAAATACCAAAGATAAACAGCTAATAGAAACTTTACGTGCTTTTAAATGAAAAGTATTTATAAATTTACAAATATTAATTTTTATAAGTGATAAAATAAATAAATAAATTATAAATTATTTCATTAATTTTAATGATTATTGGTTTTAAAATTTTAATATTTAAGCAATATTTTTAGATTTATTTTGATTAAATTTTTAAGTATTTTTCTAAAATAAAAATAAAAATTTAACAATTAATTTTATATCTATTAAAAATAGCATTCTTTTGTTAATAAATAATTTTTTATTAATATTTAGAACGTAATTTATTATGTAGATATTTAATTAAGTTTTAATACTTACTTACAGTGAATTATTTAATTATAAATATTTATTTTATCAATTTTAATTTCTTCCTTCCAGCTAAATTAAAGAAATGAATACTATTAGTTCATAATTTATTGACTATTTTTAAATAAAATCAATCATATATACGTACAATCATAATAAGTATGCTTTAAAAGTCAAATTTATTCAAATTATTAAAATATTTTAATTTTTTCTTTATTATAAAAATAAATTAATTATCTTTTAATTGTATTTAAATGGCAATATTTTTAATGAAGAAATTATTTGAAAATATTAAAAATTGTTTTTAAAAAAGATAGCAAGCAATTCATATTGAATAGTTTGTTTGAATAATACTTAAAATATTTATTATTATCATTTAAATTTGAAAATATCTCTTTTTATTTCTTAAACAAAAGAAAGCCTACTTCTACTAATAAAAATAAAAAATACATACATACTAATATATATAGTGATAGATAGATATTGATAAAATTTGCTTTGTTTCTTAATTTATTTTGATTAGGGAGTGGAGATCGTAGCTTTTTTACTTAATATTTATCTATTTATATTAATGGATGAAAAGATTGCTAATTTTTTAATTTTTTGATTTCAAATTAAAATAAACAGCGTAAAAGATAAAATAAAAACATATTAGAGCACACTTTATCCTCCTATACACTATTAAAAAATATCAAGGAAATTTTAAGTCAAATCAAATTCGCATAGTTTATTTGACCTAAAACAATTAATATATTCATCTTCAGTTAATATTGATGAACATTTTCCTGCTATGCATGCTATTTTTCTAAGAACTTGGAGGAGACATACTTAGTTAGCATTGCATTACTCTTATAGACAGTCAGCATCAATAAAATTTGAATTCACTTAGCTTAATCCAACAATTAATAGAAATATTATTGCTAAATGCAAATTCATAAATATTTATATTTTATCTTTGCTTATTCAAACTCAAATAATTAATTATTAATTAATTAATAAGAAAGTGTCAACTTTTAACAAATACATACATATTTCTAAATAAATTGTATAACAAAATCATTCAATAATAAACAAACATCATAAATAATATAAGATTAAAAAATAAAAAATATATCAAACATTCATTTTATAATGAAATTTTATATCTTTTTCTTCTTTTAGTAAAAAGAAGCATTTAATTTTTTTCAAACCATTTCAAAAGAAGAAATATTAAATTTAAAATTGAGTAATTCTTTGGAAATTGTCTATTGTACACTATTTACAATATTTGATTTTCTATTTTGATGTTTTGATGTATATTAAGATTTTTATGATTGAATAAATTAGGAATTAATTATCTTTGAAATTTGTTTGGCATATTTTAAATTCCAATAATAATATAATTATTTTTAAAATTAATTTATTATTATTAATATAAAGATAAATCATCTCAAATTAATTCATTTAATTTTAATCAATTTTTGTGTTAATCATTAAGTGGATTAAAACAAAAATTATTAGACTTTCTAAATATCATTTAATATTTTGAGTTATTTGTAATTTTTACTGCCAATAAATTAAATTGTGGCACCTTAATTAATTACTGAAGAAATTGTTGTTATTATTTTTTTAGATTTCCTAAAAATTACATATCTTTTAAAGGTAGAATAATAAGAATGGTTAAAAGCATCTTTATTATTAAAATAATGACATTTTCTTAATAAGGTTTTACTTTTATTTACTCAAGTGCATACATAAAAATAAATAATATAATATATAATTATCATATATTTATTGTATTTTTCTTTTTTATATTATTTATTTCAAACAAAATCAAAAAATTTAATACATACTAAATATTTTTATCAAATGAATAAATGAATGTTTTACTGTTTTAAAAAATAGGAATATTTATTTTAATCAGTTAATTTAAGAATTGGCTGGTTATTAATTCCGTTTTATCTCTAAAAAATTTTAAAAGTTAAGAAGAAAAATTATAATAGCAAAGAGGTATAGAAAATTTGATTGCTAAAACCTAAAATATATATTGAATAATTATTTAAAAAACCTATTGGAAGATTGTAAAATAGTAAAAACTTAAATTGTAAATGAAAAATCGAACATGAATAAAATATGAAATTATCACGCGAAATAATATTTATAATTAGGAATTAAATTCATATTATATTCTTATAAACTTTTTTTATGTACTTTGTTTTTATTTTTTTGTAAAATCATAATGTTATCATTAATAGTCCAAAGACAAAATAAATGATATTTGATCCAGTAGTACTTCCTTATGCGGCTGATTGCAATTAAGAGAGAGAATTATTTGCTAAAAGTTATTCTGCACAAGTCTCTAATGCATTAACAGTGCTTTGTGGTTAGTTTTGAGTGCATTATGTATTTTATTTTATACATGCAACCGCTTAGTTTATATCTGAAGAACTTGAAGTACTGCATTTATCTTCGTAGCAACCTACCATACTGATTATCCCTTCAAAACAATTAACATCTCCATTACAGTTATTCGTTATACAAGTTGACAATTGACTTTATATACTTTCTTATAAAGTTAAGTTGCAAACAAAAAGTAAGATTAGTACTTAAAATATTTATCTCATTTATTATTTACTTTACTGATCAAAATAGATATAATTTTTTTGTTTTTTTGTTTTTTAATTAAATTTGAAATTTTTTGGTTTTTTTTTTTGCATTTTAAAACAATCTAATCACGATAACGCATACTAAACTATAATCAATCTATACTTATTTATAAATTGAACAAATTTATTATTTACGCTTGAAAAGAAATTTGGTTAATTAATTATTAAAATCTCTCAACTCAGCGTTTCAACAGCATTCAGCAATAATAACTTTTAGATACTGTTAGTTTTCATAAGTATGATCTATTATATTAATATTCGCTCTAATTTAAAAATTTGGATTTTTATAAAAAATATTAGATTGGGAGGGGTAGGAGGAGTGGCACTAATTTATGAGAATCTAGAGTATTCTATATATATGTAGTTGTCCTTAAAATTCAAAATAAATTAATATGAAATGAAAAAATATTTTTTTAGTAAAAATATGTTCATTTATTTATAATACTAAATGATGTTTATGATATTTAAAAATTAAATCTTTATAAAAAATCTATCAATTTAATTAACGTGAATTTATATTTAAAAATTTAGTTAAAAAGTTAAATTAGTTTTAATTCTAATTATAATCAAATATTAATTTGTAATAAATGTAATATTTAATTTTCAATAACATTTTTCTAATAAAATCAAAGCATCTTTTACAATTTATATTTGTAAACAATAAATTATTTTTTGACTAGTTATTAAAAATTAAAAAAACAATTCAAAGCAATGTCAGAATTTAAATAAATAGCATTGAATAAATAAGCATTTTTTAATAATAAATCAATTATATAAATAAATAAATAAACACAATCATACATACTTAAAATATTAAAGAAGTCAATATATTTTAAAAATATTAACAAACTAAATAATATATTTTTAATTCCTTTTAAATTTATATTTAGTTTTAATGTAAAAAATAGATTTAAATAAAAATCAACCAACCTTATAATATTATTTTTATTAGTAAAACCTTATTTAAATAAACTAATTAATTTTAAGATCTTAAAGATGAAAAGTATATTTAAATGAAAAAAATGTCATTTTTCAAATAATTATTAAAAAATAAAAAATATAATTATTTCAAATAAATAAAAACATGATATTGAGTAAATAAGCATTTTTTAATAATAAAAGAATTGTATAAATATATAGATAGATAATATCTTTAATAGAAACCAATCTATTTCAAGCGTATAAATTAATTAATTAACTAAATAATATATTTGATAGTCTTTTAATTTATATGAACTCAGTTAAAATGAATGAAAAATACATTCTATAAGTAGAAATATATTTAATATTTATGCAAAATAACAACTTTAAATAAAAATCAATTTTATTTTATTATTTTTATAGGTAAAACCTTATTTGAATAAACTAATTTTAAGAATTTAAGGATGATGAAGGAGTATATATATACAAATATTAGTTAGATTTATCTTAAAAAAAATAAATGTCATTTTTCAAATTAATAGATATAAAATTGATAATAATATTGTGCCTAAAATCAAAGGAGATCCAGACTTCAAGTAACTAGAAACAAATTAGTTTACACAAGTTGTAAATGTATTGCCTACATTGACTGGTTAGTTTTTTAAGCATGTGTTGTAGTTTTAATAACATGATATATCCTTTGAACCTTTGCACTAGTCTTCAACACAAGTTACTATTGCACCGACACCCTAAATGCATACATAATCACTATTGCAATTTGAAATTACGCAACTTTATAATTCTTGCTCAATATTATATGATTATGCTTAAATATTGCAGGCTAAAGCAGCTAAGATTATTAAGAATAAGTATCTCATTTTTGTAAATTTTTATAATTAATTAATTGATTTATTAATTTGTTTGCTACAAATATATTATTACTATTTATGGTTAAGAATGCTTCTAAAATATATATTTACTTTTTATAAAAAGTAACAAAAAAGTGTATTCTTTACATGCTCTGTAAAATTTGATTCTTACATTAGTAATTAAGAAGATTCAAGAAGAAAACCTTTCTAATAAATTTTTAAAATATACTAGCATTTTTTTTTCAACTACTTGGTTTTGATATGATATCCTAGTAAATTAATATTTGCTGGATTAAATATCCTCTACATCGCTAAAAATAGATATTAGTAAATATCTTCAATAGTTTTTTTGATTTTTCCCTTATCTATTTATATAATTAAAATCTAGAAGCTCATCACATACATGAAATGGACCAATCTAAATGGTCTAAAATTTACCTAAATAATACCTTGCATTATTTAAAGCTTATTTAGCAGTAATTGTATTGTTATTTTTCATTTAAAATCTAAATAAAATAGAAAAAAATTAGCTGTTTTCCATATTACAATAAAAAAATATAGACAAACAATTATTATTTTATACAATTCGAAAGATTGTCCAAAGACCAATTTTTGATAAATTATATTTTGTTTTTAAAAGCGATTAATCAAATTCTACTAGTTCTTTTATTTAGTAAATAATTTTTTTAAATATGTAAATTCTTTATAATTCTGGCAAGTTATCTAAATTTTTAAATAAAATTTTAACAAAATAATTAAAACAATTTCGCATAATTAGTTTGTAAATTTATTTTTTTATTTTTGTGTCAGATTTTTCCTTTGATATAAGTTTACTTTTCATAATTATTTCATTATAAAGATGATAAATTATATTTTGTTTTTTAAAGTGATTAATGAAATTCTACTAGTTCTTTTATTAAGTAAATAATTTTTAAAAATATGTAAATTCTTTATAATTCTGGCAAGTTATCTAAATTTTAAAATATAATTTTAACAGCATAATTAATTAATAATTAATTAAAACATATTGACATACTTTGTTAGTAAATTTATTTTTTTATTTAAATGTCAGATTTTTCCTTTGAAATAATTTTTATTTTTCCATAATTATTTCTTTTTAAAGATAATAAATTAGTAGTATTTTTTAGAAAGATATTTGAATATTTAATTTAATTTAAAACAGTAAATTATTTTTTTTAGATATTAAGAAATTAATTCCCTATTAAGAAATTCCTACTGAATTAATAATACTAAAAAGCATTAGATGAATATTAAATTTCCCCTCAAAAACCTGATTTATAAAATATTTTGATTTTATTTAAAATTTACAAATTAAAAAATTACCTTTTTAGACACAAAATGTATTTTATGGCTTTAAATTATAACAATAACCTTGATACTGATATAATGATTATGTACATCGTAGGCATTTTTGTAAAGTTAAATCACAGTACAAGCATTTCTAATTTAAACATTTTTAGCAGATATTATTTTAATCGCAAAATGAGAAATCAGGCTATTTTTCGAAACACTAATTTTAAAAATAATATTTTGTTGGAGATTAACACTATTAACATTAATTTTATGAGGTCAAAATATATCCTAATTAACAAATTTAGCACTGATCATCACCATTACAAATTAAGCAACCTTAGATGCATTTCCTGCATACATTTGTGTCTTAGAATATAGCCATATAATATTTTTCTGGACATTAAGAAACGCATTTTTTTTCATCTGAATGATTTATTGTATTTATAGATTAACTCATTTTACAATTCTACATTTGATAATTAAATAAAAGTAAACTTAACTTTGGAGTAAGACTATCAATATTAGTTTATACTTACATATTTTGCTAATAATTAGCATAATCTAGCTAATTTATATACAATCTTACTGCTATAGTTTCTTAATGATTGTTGGTCATACCTTTAATTCCTACAAATATTTCTGGTTGGTTATTCTAAAAATTATTGTTGATATGCTATATCCAATTAATTTTGTTTGAAGAAGTAATATCTTTAAAATCTGATTCATCCAAATTAGCTATCATAGAATATTGTTCATTTTAACTATCTGTATAAAATTCTATACAATTTACAAGTATTTCTTGAATATAATTTGTTTCAGAAGTTATAACCTAAATAATATAATAATCTGAATCGCTAGCAGCTGATATACTAACTCCTATTTCTCTTAAAGCATTATTTGAATTAGTAGAATTAAATCCTAAAAGTGTGCATTTAGAGTTTCTCTACTTATTTTAATCCATAGGCAGTTAGAATTTCATTAAATATTGGTTTCCATGATCTAGATTAAACTTATTAGTTGTTATAGCTATGGATTGATCTTATATAATTTAGTAATAAAAAAAATTTACATATATTTTAGTATCACCAAATTTATATATTCTTATTATTGTTTTGTCAATATTTACTTCTTGAACAGTAAATTAATAAGAAATATAATTTGTTTGAGTTAAATAATCTAAAGTGCTAATTCCAATAAATACTTAAGGAATTTATGTATACTACTTTTTATGATTAATTGTATATTCCATATAACCATCTGCCATTTCATTCATTAAATTGGGATCATGTATAATTTATACATTTCCTGCTTCTGCTCGATCTGAGTTAGTGTAAATTTGATTGCATAAATGTATTTTTATTGCTTAAATAAAGCAAATAAGTCCTAATATAATCATTCTTTTTTAAGTTAGTAAATAGATATTAATTAACATTAATTTTTTTTATAAAATTTTTAGTTGATGTATAAAATTAAATTTATTTATTTGCTTAATTCTTCTCATTTTAAATTTGTATTCTGATTTTAAAATTTTTTGTTTATGAATATCAAAAGACGAATTTAGTATCATGTAAATAAATTTAATCTTAATAAGTCAATAACAACATTTATTAAATTATTATTTGTTATTATCATAGAAAATATCACATAAATTCATAAAAGAAACTATAAAATATCCAAAAATAATAAATATATTTGAAAGAATTTATTTCTTTTCTTAATTTAATACAATTTTTTCTTTCTTTTGTAATTCTTTTATTTAATTTTTTTTATTTGAGTAAAAATAAATGATAAAAAAAATATTCTACATCATTGATATCAAAGTACATATTTTAATAAATAATTAATTAATTAAAATTTTAATATTCTCTTCAGCTAGTTTGAATGAAGAATCATTAAGGAGCTTTTTCATTCATACCAATTTATTTCTTAGTTTATTAAAAAAGAAAGAAGAAATTTTACTTTCAATAAAAAGTAAACCTAAAAATTCTTAAATTAAAATGTTAATTTGATTCTTAACCAAAAATTCTTTACAATTTTTTATCACTTATTATCAGAATATTTTTATAAATAATACCTAAATATTTTTCTAGGTTTTTTAAAACAATTTATTTAATATATTCATACTCATCTAATTTATCTAAGATATTACAAACAAATTAATTATTCAACAAATCATTAGATATGAATTAAATATTGATATTCTGTTCATCACGAAATTAGTCAATAATTACTCTGAAATTTAAATTGTAGCAAATTAATTAACTTATTTCTAACTCGCAATTTGAATATAACTCATATATTGTATTTTATTTACACCAAATTCAAGTTATATTTTATTTAACCACCATGCCTAATGCATTTTTCTCATTTATTATTCTTACTTAAATAGAATTAAAAGAGTTCTCTGTTTTTAGTGAAAACTTATTATATAATATAGATTGATTATTGGTTATTGTATGTTTTAGGATCTATTTAAAAAAAAAAATAATGATTATTTATAATAGACAATTAATGTTAACTTTTTAAAAGTTTTCTACTGATTTCTTTTTATTCACCTATAATTTCAAGTTAGATAGAGGATTAAATTGTTACTTGCTAGAGGAACTTATCATAAAAGTTAGATAGGATTAAGCTTATCTGAGCTATTAAATTATTTATTTATTATTCATCAACTTATATTTATTAAATATCAAGTAAGAATGAATTGTATTTCATATTAGTATTAATAATTAAACAAATTGAATAAATATATAACCAAAAGAATAAGACAAAAGAAATATAAATAAAAGAAATGTTTTTGGAGAAATTTGACTTATTCGCAAGTGAATTTTCTTTTTATCTTGAAAAAAAACAGTAAAATAGGAAAAAAACATGGAAGGGAGGACTTATTTCGATTATAATTATTGGAATTTCGTTATATTATTTTATTTATCTAATGTAGAGCTACTCGCAAAATAAAATAGATCCAAAATATAAACTTCAAAGTTTCATCTCTGAGGATAAAATTGAATACATGCTATAAAATGATTATTTTGGATTCGATTTACAAGGATTAAATGGAACACTATCTATGCTTGAATAACAAACTGGGAAGTAATATTTAACTTTTATGCCTGCATTTTTAGTATCTAAAGTTGGATAGTTAGATCCTTTGTATATTATGCTAGATATTATTCAGTGCTAATCTCAAAAATTGAAGAATTATAAGTGTATAGATTTTTCTAAATCCTAAGGTTATCAGCTAGTTTAAAATGATTATTCCAATTATACCTCTGAACTAATCATAGTTGTTTATAAATGTACTGATACAGATTTCTTTAAGAAAACTGTACCTACTAACTGTGCTTCTGATAAAGAAATAAATGATCTTATTAATGACAAAAACTAGTAGTTTGAAATAAAGATGAAGGTATCTTAATTTAACACTACTTCAGAAAAAATGGAAGAAAGATATAAAAGGTACTATACAAATTTGCAAACTAATTTTATGGTTTATGCAAATTAAATGAGTACTAAGCTATAAACAGATGTAAAATAAGGAATTTTTTAATAAAATACATAAACTTATTCCTCAATCATAGATTATGCAAATTAACAGTAAAGAAGTTTTGATCGCGAAACTCTAAAGTAATTAACAAATATTTATGCTCTCCTTTAATTAAACATTGTTTTAGATGAATAAGTCTAGTATGCCTAAATTCAATATGTAAGTATTTTAGAAGTTCTTTCAATATTTAATAGCACATTTGCTATTCTTATGGGAGCTGGCTTGCTGAGTAGGTATTTTAGTAAAAGAATTATTTATGATTAGTTCTACTAATCTTTCTTTAAAGAATTTTTTAGCTAGTCTTAAATATAAGCAAAAATGTAAATTTCACAAGATTTAGAATAAAGTAATGCAAATAAAAATAATGAAATTTAAAAGAACATAATGTAATTTTAAAATTTTATTTCCTTTCTAAAATCGAAATAAAATAATTTCTAAATCGAGTAAAATTCTAAAGAAGATATAAAAATAGATAAAGAATAATAATTAGATTGTGATATGATTGAAATAGACGAATAAAATGGGATTAGGGACTATTAACTACAATAAATGAATTCTATTTAAATAGATAAAATAAATAAAAATTCATTTTTAAAATATTAAATGCAATTCTCAAAATTATAATTAACTCCAAGTAATGAAACAACAAAAGATTTATTTTAGCAAAACACAATAATAGAATAAGATGTATCTCCTCTTATTAATAATTTATTACTCTAAAATTCAATAAAAAAATAAGACAATACAACTAATAAAAGTATTCAACATGATAAATAAAATATAAATCCTACACACAAATTATTACCATTTCCATTAAACGATTTAAAAAGAAGCTTTAATAAAAATATTTAGATGAGTAAGATTATTGAAAATAGATATGATTAGTAAAATTAACCAAGATAAGTAGATAAAAATATCATTAAAACTTTCATTGAGTTATAAAAGAAAAATATCAACATAAATAAATTGAAAAAAAACTTAGAAAATTAGTAAAATATTTTTGTTTTAACACAAGATTTTAATTGAAATATATTTTTTAAAAGAGAAGGGATGAAGTTTTCTGAAATTAAAGACCTTTTTGACAGATCGCTAAATATTTATGAAATTTATAAAGATATTTAATTTATCAAAAAAGCATTAAGAATATTACTATCAGTAGAGTAGTATGCTGCAATTTAACTGATAGGATACTCAATTGGTAAATAAATATATTATTTTTAAATATATTTTTCTGAAAAATAAATTATTTTAAATTTATAGATAATCAAAATTAACAACAAAACGAGAGAAATCATATTAATTTGTAGATCAAACAAGAAAATTCACAGGAAGAGCTCATCTAAAATCTATGCAACTTTTTTGAAAAAATGTTATACTAAAATGAATATGGTTAAATAGATTAAAGAATACTTAATTCTTTGATTGTTTGATTTATATCTTTGTAAGTTCGATTAAATATTTTCATAATATTTAATTATCTAACAAAAAGAATAAAAAACTATTTTAATTAATTTAATTTATAAGGAAATTATTGCATATAGTGTAGTAATTATTGTACGTAATGTACATTTAGTTAAATTTGTTCTTTATAAAGACGATTATTTTTTTAAACCAGATTAGATTAGTGCTTTAAATGAGATAACTCATTTACAAAATGTTTAATTTTATCATCATTCTCTGTGTGCTATAATTTCTATTTTTTAAATTTATGCAAGTAATTCTAACCCAACCAACTGCAGTTTTTTGCTTATGTATGATTATTATAAGACTATTCCAATTAAAAAGTTAAAATTTCATAATTAAGACTTAGACAATTATTATAACATTATATTGATAATGATTGGAGTTATCATAACAGAAAAATATTATAATATATAAATTTAATATTATCTAAATAATCACTCTTACAAAAATTAAGTAATTTTTAATCTGTTTTTTATTTATTTAAATTTAACTGATTTTGATATTTTAGTTATAATAATAGCTATGATAGTATTCACTGCTTTCTATTCAATAACTATAATTTTATTGATCCATTACAGATTAAAGATATATCTAAAATTAAGGATAGATAGATATATAGAAATAGTACAACAAAAACTAATTTAAATTTCAAAATAGTTTGTCTGATTATTGTTGATGTATTTATTTACTAGAAAAATTATAAAAATAAAGCAATTAAAATTAGGAAACTCTAATGATTTAAAATTATCTTTATCTAATTATTGACGAATAGTTTGATTGTCTTTACTTATTTATCATTCTCAAAACTTATTTAAAAAATTTAGCAGAGAGAGGTTTCGATCCTCCGACCTTTGAGTTATGAGCCCAACGCGATTCCACTTCGCCACCCTGCTAATCATAAAATAATTAGTTATGCTCTATAATATGAAAGTAATATTAGTTTAAAGAAATAAAAGATATTATATTTGATAATCTCTTTAATATTTTAATCAAAATATTATTATTATATATATATGTATGTATAGTACCCTTAGGTACTGTCATATCAAGGCTATTTGTTTTTACATTAATATATTTAGTAAAAACTGCATACTTTTTAATTATACTTACCTTAATTGCAATAACTATTGTGATTTGTATCAAAATATATATTATTTTACTAATATATATGCTAAACATTTTTAGATTATAAATTTTAAGAATAATAAAAAAAAAAAACAAGAAAGATTTCATCAGATTTATGTGTAATTAATGGCATGAATTTTAATTAATTACAAAACAAAAGGTAAATTAATTAATACATCATTGAATAAATATGAGCTATTTTTTGTTTATAAAAAAGAAAATAATATCTCTCTCTTTCATATAAAAAAAGAAATTTATTCAGTCATATAGTGTTACTTCGATTGGATATAAATGCTTTTATTTTTAATGGAAAGCATTTATTGATTATATAAAGTATTTAGGTATTAATTTTAGTAAATTAGATTTCATATCTAACTAAAACAAAAATAAAATATTATAAAATAATTTATTTTTTATTGGTAACGGCTTAAAAAAGAAGTACAAACTAACTTTGATATTAAATTTAATAAAATTAAGACATTACTAAGAAATAAATTGTTATTTCCTTCATAAAGTTCTTTTAATGAAATCTATATATTTATCTAGTAATGTGGTTTAACAATATTAAAAAGTTGATGAAATATTAATTAATTCTTTTATTATTATAAAAACAAACTTAAATTTTTAATAATAGAATGAATGATTAAATATATGTTGAATTGAATAAATTTCATTGTAATAAGTAGTAATCTAATTATAAAGGTTATTCATTCTCAAATTACTCAATTTGATTGTCAAATTTTTAACTTTACCATTCTGAATCTTGTTTTATCAATAAATTATAAGTTTGTAAAATTTTTACAAACTTAAAACAATTATTTCATAAACAATTAAAATTTTTTGAACGTATTTTGCTTAAAATCTTGATAATTTAAGCTCTATTTAGAAAAATATTTTCATTTATTATAATTTATATTTTTATTTTGAAGAAATTTAAGAATTAATTCATAAAATCAATAATTGAAACTATCAGATAATCTAATGGTTAATTATTGATCACTAATTGGCTGAATTATTAAATTAATATCATCATAAATATTATTAATATTATGTCAAACGAGGATTCACAACCAAAAGATAAATAAATAAATAATCAAAAATTAAATATTACATCAATTTTCTACTCAAAATGAGCAGATTAATCTATTCATTAATTTTCTTTTGCTTTTATCTCCAGATTTCATGCCAATAATAAATTACTATTGGCCAATATTGGCAATATTATCAAGTAATTTACTATATTTATTTTAAGTGATTTCTTAAAATCATTTTAACAGTAAAGAAATGCGCTAATAGTGGTTAATAAAGATGCTAGCTAATACTAATACTGGAAGCTCAACTCAGATGGATTTATTACCAAAACTATTATTTTATAGGCTTGTGATTTGATGATTTAGAACAAAGATGATCAATTGCTTGAAGTAAATTTTTAAATAAGAATTTATTTATTTATTAAGTTGATTATTTTTATGAAATTAGTTTTCTAACCAACTCTTTTACTTCATTCCTTCCTAATAAAATTATTATTTGATTGACATTAACAATCTGGAATCGCTTTAGGATCAATAAACTTACACTTGTGGGAACCCTCTTCCTATGTTGACTAGTTAAGGATTATAAACAAACTATTTCTAATCAGTAATTTACTTTTTAATTTTCATAAAATAATTTTCCTCATATTTTTTTGAATAAAAGAATAATTTGTACATTAGAATAGTTACTAAATAGGACGGTACTTCATTATATGATTCTAGCACAACATTTTCTTTATTGACAGATTTTGATATTCAAAATATGAAAAATATAAATAAATATTCTATTAAAGATGATATTTAAGATTTTTAGATAGATAATTATTTCTACTTTTTCTTGAATGGAGTTTAATATAAGAACCCAAATGGATGCCTAAATACTTAGCTTTTTATTGTGGATGTAAAAATTTCTTTAAAAATAGATTAATTATTTAAATTTTAAAATACATTTTAAGAAATAAAATAGCGCATTTTTAGGAAGTTGTTTGCCAAATATGATGTATTTATTTAATGTAAACCTGAACGATAATCCTCTTACATTAATTTAATAATATCCATAACCTTCAATTAACACTTCCTACTCTGATATTGTAATTTTAGATCAATAGGTAAATTTAAATTATTATATAACTTCAAATTTATTATTAAATATTTAAATTCAGACAAGATTAGTTGCTATATGTTGGGCTATCTCAGGCAATTATGTATGGTGGTTTTACTAAACAAATATACTGACTACTCTTTAAATGAGCTCAATTCCTTGTTAAAATTAACCATAAAATCAGCCTATAGTATTTTAAGTAAATTACTTTATTTTTATTTATGAAATATTTTAATTTTTCAAATATAAAAAAGAATTATTTCATAGTTGATAAACAAATTTATAGTGTATCTAAAAGTTCTTCTTCTTTTACTTTTTCAAATAGTGGTTAGCTATCTAAATAATATTTACCAAGCCATGCTTACAACTATAGTTAAAGATTTTACAAAGAAGTATTCATTTAATTATTTTGTTAAAAAACTATAAAATTTATAACAAAAATTAATAGAAAAGAACTTAAATTGTAATAGAATAAAATAATAATGGGAATATCTATTTATTTATGTCAATGGATTATCTGGTATGTAACTAAAATAATAGTTATGTGAATTAGTAGTAATTAATCTTCTTATTTGCTTAGTTTTATAACGATTTTTAATTATTATTTTTATTATAAAACAGTGGAGCATGCTAAACTTGTAACTAAAACTAAATATTTTCGAAGTAATTTGTTTGTTTATTTTCTTTTTAACTTTTTAATAATTTATTTTTTAAATAAAGCAACTAATGTAGCTCTTGCCCGAATGGGACTTTTTATTAGTAAATAGAATTAATTTGCTTCATAAATAATTTATTTATTTTTTTACTTTAAAAGGAACTAATAATGCTCTCCTTGCTCTTCTAATTGCACTTAATGTGATAGTTTTACTAAATGTAATACTTGTGCTTCAGGATATTACTTGTAAATTATAAATTAAAAATAAAAAATTTATTTGTTTTGAACTTAAAAAAGATCTAATTCTTCTTAATGTGTTAAATTAGGATGTCCTGATAACTCAAGCTAGATTAAGTAAATTTTAATTAAATAAATTGATTCAGATTTATTTATTTAATTATCAAATAAATTAGTTCAGACTGTGTTTGCAATAGTAATTATTTCAAATAAATAATTAAGTAAAATTTTATTGATAAATTAATTTAGAATGATTTATTGTAAAATTATAAATTAGCTCAACAACTTTAGAATTTTAATGTGTTTAATGTTCTGATCCCTGTAAAGATTGTACAAGTTCTACTATCTGTACATCTTGTTAGAGTTAAAGTTATTATTTGAATGGAAGTACTTGCACCAAATGTATACCTCCTTGCCTAACTTGTACAAGTGCAAATGAATGCCAAACTTGCTAAGATGGTTACTATATTTCTGGCTCTTAATGTATGAGCTGTGTAAGCCCATGTCTAAAATGTTCCTCGATTTCAAGTTGCAGTTCATGCTTATATGGATATTTTTTATCTGGGACTACTTGCCAACAGTGTAGTAGTTTTTGCACTTCATGTACTTCAAATACAAATTGTTAATCTTGTTCAGACGGATACTTCCTTAGTAATAATAATTCTTGTACTTAATGTGATTAAACTTGTACAAAATGTACAAGCTTATCTTCATGCTTATCTTGTTAAGATTAATATTTTTTAGACACAAATAATAAATGCTCTAAATGTTAGCTAAACTGTATTAAATGTTAAAATTCATAATCTTGCTAATAGTGCTAATAAGGTTATTTTTTAGACAATTAAAACTGCTAAAAATGTACTAATAATTGTTAGACGTGCTCAAGCTCAACTTATTGCTTGAGTTGTTTATCTGGATACTATTTATAAGGAAATACTTGCATATTATGTAATGTTAATTGCACCTAATGTACATCTGGTTAAAGCTGCTCTTCTTGTAAAGATGGCTATTTCTTAAACTAAGGATAGTGCTAAAATTGCGATAGCTCATGTTCAAAGTGTACAAGTTAAAAATATTGTTCTGCTTGTTCTGATAGCTACTTTTTAAATTCAGTAAATTTATGTTAATAATGTTAACCCAACTGCACTTAATGCTAAGATTCATAAACTTGTTCGTAATGCCAATCAGGATATTTTTTGGATACCTTATCTAGAAAATGCACAAAATGTATTAACAATTGCTAGACATGCTCAAGTTCTACTTAATGTATAACTTGTTTACAAGGATATTTATTATCAAGTAAATCTTCTTGTTTTAAATGTATAGAATTTTGTTCTACATGTAATGAAAATTTAATTTGCCCATCTTGCATCGATGGTTACTTCTTAGATAAAAATTCATGTTAAAAATGTTTATAAAATTGCGCATAATGTAATGATTCTTAATCTTGCACTCAGTGCTTGAAAGGCTATAATCTTTACGATAACATGTGTCTGACAAGTGATTAATGTCCGAGTGGTTGCAAATTATGCTAGGATAATAACTCTTGTTAAACTTGTTTAGATGGTTATGTCAAATAAAATCAATAATGTATAAGATGCTCTGTTGAAAATTGCAACCTTTGTGATTAATAGCAACGTTGTTTCTAATGCAAAAGTGGATATAAGTTACTTAACAATTCATAGATTTGTGTTAAAGATTGTGGAGTTGGACATTATTTATCAGATAATAATGAATGTTTGGCGTGTGATTAAACTTGTTTCACTTGCAAAGGTCCAACAGACACAGATTGCATAACTTGCAAAAGTAATTTATATCTCTCATCTTCCAGCTTAAAATGTACATAATGCCAAGACCAATAATATTTAGACAATTAAAATAATTGTTAAAGTTGTTTCTCCATTTGTGAGACTTGTAACGGCCCATCAAGCAAATAATGTACAAGCTGTAAAAATTAGCTAGTTATAAGCAATATATCATCTGAATGTATTACTTTAGATTAATAATATTCAGAATCATTATAATATTATTTTTAAAATGGCTTTGAGTGTTCTGAAATATCAAGTAAAAATCTGACATAAAAATGTGAAGAATAACTAGAATTTAGTAAATTTACGTACAAAATATACTTATATACATCAGCTGCTGGATTGATGTTATCTTTGTGTTCAATAATTTTTGTTAATTCGATAAGATCAGTTAGCATTTATTACATTTAGACTTAGCAAATGTTAGGATTTTATATCTTTTCATAAAAACTGATTCCTTAATGGTTAAACTAAATGCATTTCAAAATAAGCTATTCTTATAACATTTTTACTTTAACCCCTAATTTTGTAACAATCTCTTAAATATAACATAATTTAAACAACAAAATGAAACAATTACCTTAAACGACTTTTATAAATCTATTTTTGATAATTGTTTGTATCAGATGCTGCTTACATTTCTATGCTTACTCTTGATTATTATTATTACTATTTGTCAACTCTTTAATAAAGGCCTAATGCTAAATTTGCAGAGATAATTAAAATGGAACAAACTTATAGTGTTATAACAGCTGTTTTCTAGTTATTTGCTTTTCAATTCCATTTATTAATTATTTAGAAATGATAAATCTTAATTGGATACAATTTTATCAATAGGATATATCTTATTTTACATTATTTTGCATATATTTTAGATATTTATTGTATTATACAAATGGGAAAAGCTGTTTATGAAAGAAAAACTTTGCTTTGATTCCTTAGTTAACGGTGTATTAGAATCTTCATGTTAAACTAGATGCTTTTGGATAGTATTGGAAGCTAGAAAATGTATAACAGTTGTATTTTTATCAAAATATTTATTTGAAAATAATAATTCTTCTATTGCTTCATGGGTAAGTTTATCAGTTTCTATAGTTTTTTGCTTATATATGATTATTACAAGACCACTTCAATCGAAAAGTTAAAATTTTATCATAAGTGTTTTAGACTTTGTTTATAATATTATATTGATCATGATTGGAGTTATCATATCAGGAAAATATTCTGACATATAAACTTAATATTATCTAAATAATTAGTCTCTTGCAAAAAGTAAATTTTTATTTTTTTATTTAAATTTAAGTAAATTTGATATTTTTAGTTATTATAATAGCTATGATAGTATTTACTTCTTTCTATTCAATAACTGCAATTATATTGATCCTTTAAAGATTAAAGATATATCTAAAATTAAGGAAAAGTAAAACACACATTTAAAAAACTACAAATTAGCAATCTTTAGATATTTCTGCAAGCCAAAAAAGCTTTGTCTCAGATTAATGTCTGGAAAAAGCTTTGAAACAGTACAACTAAAATTAATTTAAATTTCAAAACTCTCTGAATAAAAATTCATTTACTAGAAAACTAATAAATATAAAGCAATGAAAACTAGAAAGCTCTAATTGAAATTTAAGTTATCTTTATCAAATGTTAAATGAATAGTTTGATTCTTCTTATTTCACTTATAATACCAATTTTAAAAAAATTAGCAGAGAGAGGTTTCTATCTTCCGACCTTTGAGTTATGAGCCAAACGCGCGCGATTCCACTTCGCCACTGCTAATCATAAAATAATTAACTAGTTATACAATATGAAAGAATATTTTAATATTATTTGAAAGATATAAAATATAATATTTATTGTAATGTGTTTAGTAAGTAATTAACTCAATATTTATTTTTATTAAACTTTATTTTTAATTTAAATTTAATAAATCTTATTCAGCCCTTAATTTATGCGGCTCTTAATTAATGAGGATTTAGAGTACATTCATTTAAACATTAATTTAATGAATTAATTTTTTAAAAACTTTAAAAATTATGTAGAAAAATTAATATATGATTAAAAGTTTAATTTTATAATCTTAAAAAGATCTAATAAGAATTCAATTGACGAAATGTTAATTACATACTTCAAAAAAGTTCAAATAAATAACTAATCATTTTAGCTAAGAATGTCTAAAATAAAATAAAAAGTAATACTAACCTTTTTCTTATTTGTATAAATATTATTTTTTTAAAATGATCATTATAAAATAAAATTCATTAAATTGAGATACTTCGCAATAAAAGAATATAATTCGTCTAATTTTTATTATTTAAATTCATAGATTTTTTATTTTTCGAAAGAAAATTGTAAGAAATAAAATTAGAGCTTATTCATAAATCTAATAATAAATATATTTCAATTAATTTTAAAAAAGAGGTAACCAAAAACACATTAGATAGATAGATAGATAGATAGATAGATATATAGATAGTCATTTTTACTTAACACTAAATTTAAAAAGATGAACTTTCTTACTAAATTTTTTTTATTTCTCATGTTGTTTACTTTATTAAACGGAGAGAGAATGGTAAATTTAAATTTCCTTATTTTATATATTTTAAATAGCAATCAACTAAAAATCAATGCTGCGAAATTCAACTTATTTTAAAAACATGAAAAAACATTGAAAAAGAAATATCAATGCAAAATCAATAAAATTTTTAGATGAATAACTTTTTCTTAAAGTAACTATGTAAAATTTTGAATATTTCAATAATTTCTAATTTTCTCATTCAAATTAAAAATATTCTGAGATCTCTGGTTTTAATGATTGATAATAACTTTTTTAATTAATTTTTATGCTATTTTACAAGAAGGAAGATTAAAAAACATTTTAGTTTTGTTAAATTATAATTTTAATATAAAAATCGCAAACTCTTAAAAAAAAAAATTTAGCAGAGAGAGGTTTCGATCCTCCGACCTTTGAGTTATGAGCCCAACGCGATTCCACTTCGCCACCCTGCTAATTCTAAAATAATAAGAGATAGAATACGAAGTAGATCAACAAAATAGTTATAAACGGATATTGTAAATAAAATATAAAATTAGCTAATGTAAAATAAATTTATTATTTAAAAATGTGTTAAGCAAATTAAGAAATTCGATACTAATTTGTAATAAGTTTTTTTAATATTTATTATTAATATTTAAAATTTAGTCAAATATCAAACAAACTTAATTTTATTCATCATAAATTAAAGGGACATAAATATATTTGAGTGTTAAAAAAATTATTAAATCTTAATTTAGAAATTATTTCCAATAATGACTGATTTAGCTTTAGTGAAAACTAAAAAATGATAAAAAATAATCTAATCTAAAAAAGCTTAAGAAATTTAATATAATAAATATATATCTTAGCAAAGAGAAAATAAATAAATACATTTAATCTTAGAGACTTTACTAAATCTAGTTGTTTTCTTCTTAATGGATGGGAATATTTGTGTTACCTGCTTTTTTTAACCAAATAAAGATTATTAATTGACAATTTATCTATTATTAAATTTTTAAGTTTTCTATTGACTTCTTTTATTTGCCATTCATTTCAACTCCTTCTATTAGGTAGCAGATTAAATTATTACTTAAAGGAACTTATCATAAACTTAGATAGATAGGATTAAGATTATCTGAGCGATTTTCCATAATTTTATATTTATTAAATATAAATTTCTTACTTAAATGTTAATAATAGTTTTAAAAACATGTTAATAATTAGGAATTACTTGAAAATATTTTAATTAAATATTCATTAGTGTAGCCTATCAAAAATTAAATAGGCATTTAATTCTATTTTAAAAGCTAGCTATATTTTTGTTATTGTAGTAAAAGATTTTGAGAAAATTAAATGCAAGTAAAAATTTATATTTTTTTATGAAGTAATAAAGTAGAATTATTAGATTTTTTGATGCCTCTCTTTAACAAAGTACAAAGTAATAAATAATTTAAAGATATTTATTTTTATATATTAACATAATTAATACTCATTTAATGTTAGATAAATATTAAATTATTAAAAAATCATGATTAATTATTCTTATTTAAAATAATAGGTTTTTATATATGTAAATTTTTAATTAAGCTTTTTAAATGAAGTTAATTAGCAAATGTAATCAGAATATTTAAAGAAATTAATTATATTAAGTTTACATCTATTTTTATTTGCATTATTTAAGTGGTGTTTTTATGTTTCTTTCATTTTTTTATACAATGCTTACTTAATTAAATTATTAAAAAATCATGATTAATTATTCTTATTTAAAATAATAGGTTTTTATATATGTAAATTTTTAATTAAGCTTTTTAAATGAAGTTAATTAGCAAATGTAATCAGAATATTTAAAGAAATTAATTATATTAAGTTTACATCTATTTTTATTTGCATTATTTAAGTGGTGTTTTTACGTTTCTTTCATTTTTTTATACAATGCATACTTAAATTTAAAATAACTCAAAGGCTAGCCACATAAAAAAAAAACTAAATGATTTTTATAAAAATTTGTTTAGTAGTTAAAATATCATCAACTTTCATATATTAAAAATTTTATTTTTAATAAAAACTGAATATTTTTTAATTTTATTTACTTCAATTGTAATTACTATTGTGATTAATTTCAAAAATATATTATTTACTTTACAAATTTATGCTAAATGTGTATTGAATTTATAATTTTAGGAATATTAAAAATAAAATATAAAGATAATTTCAGATTTATGTGTAATTAATGGTATTAATTTTAAGTAATTACAAAACTAAAGGTAAATTAATTCATTATTTATTGAATAAATACGAGCTATTTTTTGTTTATAAAAAAGAAAATATTATCTCTCTCTTTCAACTAAATAAAAAACTTCATTAAGTCATACAGTGTTACTTCGTTTGGATATTAATGTTTTTATTTTTAATGGAAAGCATTTATTGATTATATAAACTAGGTATACATTTTAGGAAATTAGATTTCATTTATGACTAAAACAAAAATAAAACATAATAAAATAATTTAGTTTTGAATGGTAATGACTTAAAAAAGGGCACAATCTAACTTTGATATTAAATTTAATAAAATTAAGACATTAATAATAAATAAATTGCTATTTCCTTCATAAGATTTATAGGATTAAGGTACTAATGAAATCTATTAATTTTTTGAGTAATGTTATTTCCCTCAATTAAAAAGTTAATGGTAATTAATTATTAATTAATTCTTTTATTATAAAAACAAACATAAATTTTTAATAATAGAATGAATGATTAAATATATGTTGACTTCAATACATTTTTTTGTAATTAATAGTGATCTAATTATGAAGGTTACTCATTCTTAAATACTAAATTAGATTGTTAAATTTTTAACTTTATGATTCACTCACTGACACTAGTTTTATAAATAAATTATAAATTTGTAAAATTATTACATACCTAAAACAATTATTTATTAAACAATTAAAATTTTTTAAACACATTTCGCTTAAAATCTTTATAATGTAAGCTCAATTTAGAAAAAAACTTTCATTTATTATAATTTATATTATTTAATTTGAAGAAATTTATGATTTAGTTCATAAAATCAATAATTTGAAACGATCACATAATCTGATGGTTAATTATTGATCACTAATTTGCTGAATTAATAAATTAATATCATCATAAATATGATTATTATGTCAACCAAAGATTTACAACCAAAAGATAAATTAGTAAATAAATAATCAAAAATTAAATATTACATAAATTTTCTACCAAAATGAACAAATTAATCTATTTATTAATTTGCTTTTGCTTTTATCTCAAGTTTTCATGCCAATAATAAATCACTATAGGATAATAATGACAATATTTTCAAGTAAGTTACTATATTTATTTTAATAGTGATTAATAAAGATGCTAGCTAATACTAATATTGGGAACTCAACTCAGATAGATTCATTACCATTTATTTATTAATTATATAAACTAGGTATAAATTATAGTAAATTAGATTTCATAGCTGACTAAAACAAAAATAAAATATTATTAAATAATTTTTTGTTTTTGATAGTAATGGCTTAAAAAAGTAGCACAATCTAACTTGGATATTAAATTTAATAAAATTAAAACATTAATAAGAAATAAATTGATATTTCCTTCATAAAATTTATAGGATTAAGGTTCTAATGAAATCTATTAATTTATCGAGTAATGTGGTTTAATTTATAAAAAAGTTAATGGGAAATTAATTATTAATTAATTAATTTATTATTTTATTATAAAAAAAACATAATTTTTTAATAACGATTAAATATATGTTGACTTGAATACATTTTTTGTAATTAATAGTAATCCAATTATGAAGGTTACTCATTCTTAAATACTCAATTAGATTGCTAAAGGCGTAACTTTCTGATTCACTCACTGACACTAGTTTCATTAATAAATTATAAATTTGTAAAATTATTACGTACCTAAAACAATTATTTAATAAACAATTAAAATTTTTTAAACATATTTCGCAGAAAATCTTTATAATTTAAGCTCTATTTAGAAAATATTTTCATTTATTAGTATTTATGTTATTTAGTTTGAAGAAATTTATGATTTAATTAATTGAAACTATCAGATAATCTAATGGTTAATTATTGATCACTAATTTGCTTAACTAATAAATTAATATCGTCATAAATATGATTATTGTGCCACCCAAGGATTGACAAAATTAAATAAATAAATAATCAAAAATTAAATATTACATAAAATTTCTACTCAAAATGATCAGATTAATCTATTCATTAATTTGCTTTTGCTTTTATCTCCAATTTTCATGCCAATAATAAATTACTATTGACCAATATTGGCAATATTATCAAGTAATTTACTCTATTTATTTTAAGAGTATTCTTAAAATCATTTTTAACAGTAAAGAAACGCATTAATAGTGATTAATAAAGATGCAAGCTAATACTAATACTGGAAACTCAACTCTGATGGATTCATTACCAAAACTATTATATTATAGGCCTGTGATTTGATGAATTAGAGCAAAGATGATCAATTGCTTGAAGTAAATTTAAAAAAAAGAATTTATTTATTAAGTTGATTATTTTTATGAAATTAGTTTTCTAACCAACTCTATTACTTCATTCCTTCTTAATAAAATTATTATTTGATTGACATTAACAATCTGGAATCATTTTAAGATCAATAAACTTACACTTGCGGAAACCCTCTTTCTATGTTGACTAGTTAAGGATTAAAAACAAACTATTTCTAATCAGTAATTTTTTTTTAATTTTCAGATGATAATTCCTCATATTTTTTTTGAATAAAAGAATAATTTGTATGTTAGAATAGCTACTAAATAGGACGGTACCTCATTATATGATTATAGCACAACATTTTCTTTATTGATAGATTCTGCAATTCAAAATATGAATAGTTTAGATAAATATTACATTAAAGATGATATTTAAGATTTTTAGATTGGAAATTCTTTCTATTTTTTCTTGAATGGGGTGAAATATCAGAACCCAAATAATTGTCTAAATACTTAACTTTTTATAGTTGATGTAAAAATTTTTTTCAAAATAGATTGATTATTTAGATTTTAAAAATATTTTAAGAAATAAAATAGCATATTTTTAGGAAATTGTTTTTTAGATTTGATATATTTATTTAATTTAGACCTCACCCTAAATCCTCTTACAATAACTTAATAAAATCCATAAAAATCAATTAACACTTCCTACTCTGATATCATGAACTTAGATCCATAAGTAAATTTACATCATCATATAGTTTCAAATTAATTATTAATTATTTAATTCAGACAAGGCTAGTTGCTATGTGTTGGGTTATCACAGGCTAATCTGTATGGTGGTTTTACTAAACAGATAAACTGCCTTATATTCAAAGCACTATTCCTTGTTAAAATTAACCATAAAACCAGCCTATTGTGTTTTAAGTAAATTACTTTATTTTTATTTAAAATTATTTTAATTTTTTCAAATAAAAAAAGAATTATTTCATTGTTGATCAAAGTATTTATAGTCTATCTAAAAGTTCTTAATCTATTAGTTATAAATTTAAAAGTAAGCTTCCTAAATAATATTTACCTAGTCATGCTTTCAACTATAGTTAAAGATTTTACAAAGAAGTATTCATTTAATTATTTTGTTAAAAAAACAATAAAATTTATAATAAAAATTAATAGAAAAGAACTTAAATTGTAATAGAATAAAATAATAATGAGAATATCTATTTATTTATGTCAATGGATTATCTGGTGTGTTAACAAAATAATAGTTATGTGAATTAATAGTAATTAATTTTCATATTAGCTTATTCCTTTATCAACCTTTAATTTATATTTTTATTATAAAACAGAGGAGAATGCTAAACATGTAACTAAAACTAAATATTTTCTAAGTAATTTATTTTTTTTTATTTTCTTTTTAATTTTTTAATAATTTATTTTTTAAATAAAGTAACTAATGCAGCTCTTGCCCTTAAGGGACTTTTTATTAGTAAATAAAATAATTTGCTTTATAAATAATTAATTAATTTATTTTTTCTTTAAAGGAACTAATAATGCTCTCCTTGTTCTTCTAATTGCACTTAATGTGATAATTTTACTAAATGTAATACTTGTGCTTCAGGATATTACTTGTAAATTATAAATTTTTTTCAAAAATATTTAATTGTTTTTAACTTATAAAAGATCGAATTCTAATTTATGTGTTTTATGTCCTAATAACTCAAGCTGGAATAAGTAATTTTTTACTAAATAAATTGTTTCGCATTTATTTAATAATTATCAAATAAATTAGTTCAAGCTGCGATTGCAACAATAATTATTTCAAATAAATAATTAAGTAAGTAAAATTTTTTTGATAAATTAATTTAGAAATGATTTATTGTAAAATTATAAATTAGTTCAACAACTTTAGAATTTTAATGTGTTAAATGTTCTGATCCATGTAAAGAATGCACAAGTTCTACTATCTGCACAGCTTGTTATAGTTAGTATTATTTGAATGGAAATACTTGCACCAATTGCCAATCTCCTTGCCTAACTTGTACAAGTGCAAGTGAATGCTAAACTTGCTAAGATGGTTATTATATTTCTGGCTCATAATGTATGAGATGTGTGAGCCCATGTCTAAAATGTTCCTCAAGTTCAAGTTGCAGTTCATGCTCATTTGGATATTTTTTATCTGGAACTACTTGTCAATAGTGTGACAGTATTTGCACTTCATGTACTTCAAATACAAATTGTTAATCTTGCTCAGACGGTTATTTTCTTAATAATAATTAATGTAATTAGTGTGATCCAACCTGTACAAAATGTACAAGCTCATCTTCTTGCTCCTCTTGTTAAAGTGAATATTTTTTAGACGCAAATAATAAATGTTCTAAATGTTAGCTAAACTGTATATAATGTCAAAATTTATAATCCTGCTAGAAGTGTTAAGAAGGCTATTTTTTAGACAATTAAAACTGCTAAAAATGTACTAATAATTGTTAGACGTGCTCAAGCTCTACTTATTGCTTGAGTTGTTTATCTGGATATTATTTATAAGGAAATTCTTGTATATTATGTAATGATAAGTGCACTTAATGCACATCTAGTTAAATTTGCACTTCTTGTAAAGATGGCTATTTCTTAAACTAAGGTTAGTGCTAAAAATGTGATAGCTCATGTTCAAAGTGTACAAGTTTATCATATTGTTCTGCTTGTTCTGATGGCTATTTTTTAAATTAAGGAAATTTATGTTAATAATGTTAACCTAACTGCACTTAATGCTAAGATTCATAAACTTGTTCGTAATGCCAATCAGGATATTTTTTTGATACCTTATCTAGAAAATGCACAAAATGTATTAACAATTGTTAGACATGCTCAAGTTCTACTTTATGTATAACTTGTTTACAAGGATATTTATTATCAAGTAAATCTTCTTGTTTTAAATGTATAGAATTTTGTTCTACATGTAATGAAAATTTAATTTGCCCATCTTGCTTCGATGGTTACTTCTTAGATAAAAATTCATGTTAAAAATGTTTATAAAATTGTGCATAATGTAATGATTCTTAAACTTGCACTCAGTGCTTGAAAGGCTATAATCTTTACGATAACTTGTGTCTGACAAGTGAATAATGTCCGAGTGGTTGCAAATTATGCTAGGATAATTTCTCTTGTTAAACTTGTTTAGATGGTTATGTCAAATAAAATCAATAATGTATAAAATGCTCTGTTGAAAATTGCAGCTTTTGTGATTAATAGCAACGTTGTTTCTAATGCAAAAGTGGATATAAGTTACTTAACAATTCATAGATTTGTGTTAAAGATTGTGGAGTTGGACATTATTTATCAGATAATAATGAATGTTTGGCGTGTGATTAAACTTGTTTCACTTGCAAAGGTCCAACAGACACAGATTGCATTATTTGTAAAAGTAATTTATATCTCTCAGTTTCTAGCCTAAAATGTACATCATGCTAAGATCAATAATATTTAGACAATTAAAATAACTGTCAAAGTTGTTTCTCCATTTGTGAAACTTGTTACGGCCCGTCAAGCAATTAATGTATAATCTGTAAAAATTAGCTCGTTAAAAGCAAGATATCATTTGAATGTATTACTTTAGATTAATACTAATCAGAAGAATTATAATATTATTTTAAAAATGGCTTTGAGTGTTCTGAAATATAAAATAAAAATCTTACATAAAAATGTGAAGAATAGCTAGAATTTAGTAAATTTACGTACAAAATATACTTATATACATCAGCTGCTGGATTGATGTTATCTTTATGTTCAGTTATTTTTGTTAGTTCGTTAAGATCATTTAGCACTTACTACATTTAGACATAGCAAATATTAGGATTTAATGTCTTTTCTTAAAAACTGATTCCTTAATGGTTAAATTAAATGCATTTCAGAATAAGCTATTCTTACAACATTTTTACGTTAGTCCCTAATTTTGTAACAATCTCTTAAGTTTTACATAATTTAAACAATCAAAGCGAGATGATTACCTTAAACAACTTTTATAAATCTATTTTTGATAATTGTTTGTACCTGATACTGCTTACATTTCTATGCTTATTCTTGATTGTTATTGTTATTATTATTTGTTAACACTTTAATAAAGACCTAATGCTAAATTTGCAGAGATAATTAAAATGGAACAAACTTATATAGTTATAACAGCTATTTTCTAGTTATTTGCTTTTCAATTCTATTTATTAATTATTTAGAAGTGATAAATCTTTATTTGATACAATTTTTTCAATAGGATATATCTTATTTTACATTATTTTGAATCTATTTTGGACATTTATTGTAGTATATTAATGGGAAAAACTCATTATGAAAGAAAAGCTTTGTTTTGATTCCTTAGTTAATGGTGTATTAGATTCCTCATGTTAAACTAGATGCTATTGGATAGTCTTAGAAGCTAGAAAATGTATAACAGCTATATTTCTATCAAAAAATTTGTTTGAAAATAATAATTCTTCTGTTGCATCATGGGTAGGTTTATCAGTTTCTATAGCTTTTTGCTTATATATGATTATTATAAGACCACTTCAATTTAAAAATTAAAATTTCATAATAAGTGCTTTAGATTTTATTTACAATATTAAATTGATCATGATTGGAGTTATCATATCAGGGTAATATTCTGATATATAAACTTAATATTATCTAAATAATCAGTATCTTGCAAAAAGTAATTTTTTATTTTATTATTTAAATTTAAGTAATTTTGATATTTTTAGTTATTATAATAGCTATGATAGTATTTGCTGCTTTCTATTCAATTACAACAATCATATTGATGCTTTAGAGATTAAAGATATATCTAAAATTAAGGAAAAGTAAAACATACATTTCAAAATAGCAATCTTTAGTTATTTCTTCAAGACAAAAAAGTTTTGTCTCAGATTAATGTTTGGAAGAAGCTTTGAAACAGTATAACTAAAATCAATTTAAATATCAAAACTCTATTAATAAAAATTTATTTACTAGAAAACTTATAAGTATAAAGCAATGAAATTTAGAAAACCCTAAAGTAAATTTAAGTTATCTTCATCAAATGTTAAATGAATAGTTTGATTATTATTATTTCACTCAAAATTCCTATATAAAAAAATTTAGCAGAGAGAGGTTTCGATCCTCCGACCTTTGAGTTATGAGCCCAACGCGATTCCACTTCGCCACCCTGCTAATCATAAAATAATTAACTAGGCTATACAATATGAAAGAAAATTTTAACATTAGTTTAAAGATATAAAATATAATATTTTTGGTAATATGTTTAGTAAATTAACTCAATATTTAGTTTTTATTAAAATTTATTTTTAATTAGTTGTCATATTAATTTATAAAATTATTAAATTAAATGTTTTTCGAATTTAATTTTTTGGGTTTTTAATAGAATTTGAAAAAAAAATAAAATAATATTTTTAACTATTTATTTAATGACTTTTTTATAAAAAATAATATGTTTTATAAATAAACTGTAATATTTTGCTAATATTGAGGTAAAAAAGTAACAAAAAAGTGATATTAATTAGATATACAAATTTGAAAGAAAGGGAAATCAACCAATTAATTTTTGCTAAAAAAATTATTAATGATTAAATCTCTCATTAAAAAACACCAACTCAAAAAGATTGATTAAAATTTTGTTTTTACTAGTGTTATTTAATGAGGATTTAGGGTATAAAATTTTTAATCAAAGATTTAATTTTATGATGAAGAAAACAAACAAGAGATAAAATTTATTTTTTGAAATTAAAAATATTCTCGTATAAATTTAACATTAGAAATCATGTAAAATTTGATTATAAAAGATAGAAAATAAATAAATAATCTTTTAAATTTAATAAATCTTATTCAAGCAAATTGATTTATAGTATATTGACAGTTTGGGCCCAATAAAAAAAGAATGAGTAATCCTCAAGTAATTAAGTAAGTAATTGACAAAAATTTTATTTTATTAATGATATCAAATAAAAAAATTTTACTTTTTTGAATATAACTAAAATGTATTATTTAAAGATATTTACTAGCATTAATTTTATTTTACAGAAAATGCCCATTTACTAATTAGTTACTTACTTTCTATCAATTTTCATAGATTAGAAATAAATTAAATTATAAAAATAGAATTGATTAAGTTAATTAGGATATTTCGCTATTCAATAATATAATACGTCAAATATTTATAATTATTTAAATTCATTTAGACCTTTTATTTTTGGAAAGAAAATTGAAAGAAATACAAATAAAGTGTATTCATAAATCTGATAATAATTTAATTTCAATTAATTTTTAAAATAGAGGTAACAAAAAACAGATTTGATACAAAGTCACTTACTTATTACTTGAAATAAAATTAAAAAAATGAACTTTATTAGTCAATTTTTTGTATTTCTCATGCTCTTTACTTTATTAAATGGAGAGAAAGAAATGGTAAATTTAAATTAATTTCATAATTTATATTTATTTATTTTAATTACATTAATCTTTTTATAAAAAATATCTTATAATAATCATGATAACATCAATATATTATTTATTTATTATATTTTCACTTTAACTATCATCATTTTAATTTTTTATTATATTATTGCGAACTTTTAAATATGATTTTATTCGAATTCAGCTACATAAATAAATAATTTCGCAAAAGCAAAAATTAATTGTGAAAATCAACTTTTAAAAAAAAAAAGATGGAATAGAAATCAAAGCAAATTCAATCAAATTTTTTAGATGAATAACTTTTCAATTTTTTGATTTTCTATTTAGAATTTGATTGTTTGTTGTTTATCATAATTTTTTGTCTAATTTTTTATCTATTTTAAACCATAGAAGATAATTTGATCTAATTTGTATTTTTTTCTTAAAATTTATTGATAAAAATATAGGGTGATTTAGATTCTAGAAGAGATAATAACAACAACTTATATCAAGGAAAACTTAGATTATCATCAAATTAATTTCAGAAATAAGAAGTTGGAAAATATTAGAGAAAACTTTAAGACTGTAAACAAGATTATTTAAGAAGATTTTGTAAAATATTAGAAAGATATTAAATCACTAAAAAGTAAAATTTTAATCTTATCGCTATTTATTATTTTTACCATTTATTTTTTTTTATAAATGTTCTATTAAAAAAGACTAAATAAGTCTTTTAGAATTTAATGTTTGCTTTTACATTAATTTATTTTAAAAATAATAAGTCTAACTAATAAGTGCTTTACTTCTAATATTGATTGTCTAATTCCTTTATAAATTTCGTGTAGTATAAGCTAATCAAATAACTAGAAAAATTAAATGAATAAGTATATAAAGCAAGGAATGTAAAATGAAAAATTGAAAAGATAACTTCAACAATATTAAATGAACAGCTAAAGCTTATTTAATAACAGATAACTATTCAATAATATAATAGATGTTATCTCTATAATTAACATTTCATTCATAGTTATTTTCTCTATATTCACAAACTATGGATCAATTATTGGGTGGATTTTTATTCAAAATTAATAAATAATTGGTAATTACATATTTACTCCTAATCTAATTTTAGTATAAATGAACTAATTTGAATTGAAATCTAGCTACGCTCATCATATATTTACCATTATACCTAACAAATTTTAATTTTTATCATCTGACAATCAAGTTTTACTTGAATTCAACCATTATAATACAATACTTAAAATAGATGACTTCTGGAGCAGTTTGTTGATCAACTGCTTTTTATCTTTTATCTTGCTCGGAATATCTATTCTTCTTTTGTTTATATTTTCACTCTTTTATAAAACTAAGGATTTAGATTTGACCCTAAGCTTACTTTAAAAAATTTACAATTTTATTAAGTGGAATATTTTTGTTTATCTGCTGAGAATAATTGGATGTTTTTTAATGTTTGATTCGGTGTTTGTATTATATTAGAAAAATAACACCTCTATAACTGACTACATTTTCAGTGTAATATTTATGATTTTTTATATAGCGTTACTCACATACTGGAGCTATATCATAGGATATTAATATGAAAAAATAAAATTTGAAGATATCGCCCAATACTAAACTCTAGTATAATAAATAGACGTATCAAATAGAATTTCAAGGATATTTTGGATTTTATTTGAATGGAAAAAACTAATTATCTCGATATTTTAAGCGTTTTTTGTTCTAGATTAAAACAAGTCATAAATTACTTGTTGGATTCATGTTGGAATTAATACAATTTTTTTGATTTATTTAATATGGAAAAGGCCTTTCCTATACAATCTAGTTAATATTATGATAATTTCTTTAGAGACAATTAATATAGCTTTGATTATTTTTCTTGGCATAATAACTAAAGAAAATAATCTTTAGACAGCTTAATTACCATCCAATTATTTGACATAAACAATGCATGACTGTAATAGTTAGTTAATTAATTTTGAAAATATTTCATAAAACATTTTTTCTTAATTTCTAATTAATATTTAAATAAACAGGTTACAGATATACAATGATAGGATTTATTTCATTGTCAATAATATTTTAAACCTTCTACATAATACAAAAAATAGTTAATAGCCTTAAAAAAAATTAATAAACAGCTTAAGGATAAAAAAAGCAAGAATTATGTTTAACTGTTTAGGAAACAAACGAAGAAAAGCAAGATTAAATTTACGAATTTCTATATTAATACAATTTTTAAAGTAGAAATTACTGGTAAAAGAGAGTTTAAACAGATAAGAAATTACGTTTTAACCAAGATTGGAATATATATTGAAATATTTTAATTTTTGTTATTTTTGTTACATATTTACATTACTTAAAGCAACTAGCTAACTTTAATATTTATCAAATAAATTTTAAGTAAATTCAATTTTAGTAAGTACTAATCTATAAGTGAAATAATATATTCTATTCAAAAAATGAATGTAAAATTTAGATTAATTAAATGATTTCTTAATTTCTAATTCAAGTTAAAAATATTCTGCGATCTATTATTTTAATGTTTGATAATAAATTTTTTTAAATTTTTATGCTATTTTATATGAAAGAAGATTAAAAAACATTTTAATTTGTTGAATTATATTTTTAATATAAAAATCATAATTTCTTTTTTAAAAAATTTTAGCAGAGAGAGGCTTCGATCCTCCGCCCTTTGAGTTATGAGCCCAACGCGATTCCACTTCGCCACCCTGCTAATTCTAAAATAATAATGCCAAGAATACGAAGTAGATCAACAAAATCGTTTTTAATACATTGTAAATAAAATATGATTTTAGTTATTGTAAAATAAATTTATTATTTAAAAATGTGTTAAATAAATTAAGAAATTAGATATTAATTTGTAATAAGTTTAAATAATATGTATTAATAATATTTAATTTTAGTCAAATATCAAAAAACTTAACTTTCATTCATCATTAAAATAGGACTAAAATACATTCTCTCTATTAATAATCATAATTTTGTTTTGTTGCTATTAATACAAATTCTAAATCCTACAGACCAATGAACTGAAGATAATTAAATTTATATGATTAAATGTATCATTAAATCTTAATTTATAATTATTTCCAATACTGATTGATTTAGCTTAAGTAAAAAAACAAAATTACAAAAGTTAATCTAATTTGAAAAAGCTTAAGAAAGCTAATAAAATAAATATCTGAGCAAAGAATAAATAAATAATTAAATATATACATTTAATGTTAGAGACTTTATTAAATCTAGTTTTTTCTTGTTCATGAATGGGAATATTTTAGTTAATTAATCTCTTATTTCATAGTTATTTGCAAATATCTTTTGGGTAAAAATAAATTTTTAGTACTTATTCATTTATTTTGAACCTATTATTTACTGAATCTTTCTAGCTTCTTATATAGCAAGATCAAATGTAATTTTTAGACTTTTAAAGTTTTTGATATTAGCGTTGTTTTTTTTTTTTGAATTGTAACAAAATAGTAAAAATAATTAATTTGGTTTGTGTATCCATAAGAAAATAATTCTTTTAAAAGAATTTAATATGATAAAAACTCTGATTATTTTTTGGTCGATGATTATGATTGAGAATGAATTTACTTAGTTATTTAAATTTGATGATCAATTATAAATTAGCAATAAAATTTTAATCAAATTCAACCAGAAGTAAGTTTACTATTCTCAAATTAATAGTTCAAATTGTTATGACTTTTCAAAAGCGATGAAAACTTTACAATTTTTACTTGGATTTACTTTTTCTTAAACTCACTAATACATTTTTTTGAAGCAGAATATATTAGGAAAAGATAAATTCAGAACGCATTTTAAATTTATTTTTTTTAAAGTTAGTTTTCTTCTCGTTATTATTAAAAATGGTTGTTTATTATTGCATCTTTTAAATTAGGTTTTTATTAATAATAAATGATATTTAATAGAAATTTTTTTGTATAATTTAATAAACACTGATGAAAATTTGAATAGTTTAGCTCATAGCACAATAATTTGATTTCTTGATTATGTTAAATGAGATAATTATTTAGACAAAAATGCTCTATACTTTTAGATTATCGATTATAGCGTTTTTAATGTTTAGATTTCTTCTTATTATTATTACTCATGGGTGATTGTGTATTTTTTTAATAATCTTTTTTAATTAATAAGAGTAACAAATAAAATTAATAATTAAAATAGAAAGTTTTACCAGATTAGTTGGAGAGTTAGTAAATATATTTATTTAGTATTTCTTATTAGATCTCTAGCTAGCTGCCCAAAAAGAAAAATTGAAGTTAAGCGTAAAGACTAAATACGAAAATATTTATAAAAAATATAATTTCGTAAAAATTTTCTAACAAATAGATTTACAAAAGTTAAAAATAAAAACGTTTACCAATTTAAATTCATTTTGATCTCAGATAAAAGCTATGATATGGTTTATTCTAATATTTATTGCTTTAACAAGAGGGGAAAATCCAAAGGTATAGCCAGTAAAATAACCAAAAATTTTAAAAACGCTTTAAGCTTAAACAATTTTTCAATAATAATTCTAACGTTCTTCCATTATATTAATATAAATAAATAAACACTTGCGGATTAATCTCTGCTTTTAAATAATATCGAAAAGCAATAAAAGTATGATAATAATCTGGAAAAAATAAAATATTTTTCTACTAATTTTCTCACATTTTCCTTAATTTTTATATTTAAAATTATCGAGAGTAAAACAAATTTTTGAACTACTTTATCAGTTAGCTAATTAGGCAATTATCACAATAGATATTATTACAAAAAGGTTGAATTAATGATTTCAACCCATTCATATATACAAAAAATTTCTATTATTTCTAATCAAAATCATATAAAAGCTTTTAAACTATTTGAATGTGTGCGTTTTTCATATATTTTTTATTATTTATAACAATTTAAAATTTATAAAATCTATTTTTACTTAATTCTGCCAAATGAAACTTTAATAAATTATTTTTATTAAATAGCCAGAATTTAATTTAATTGGAACAAACTATAGCCTGAATTAATATTAATAATTGAGGTAACTTTAAAATGAAAGTGAATAATAAGAGGGAAATTAAATCTGCAAAGTAGTAATTAAAAATTGTAAATTGTGTTTTTAATCTGGATTATGTAAAGAGTGCGACAAGGGTTATTACTCCAATAAGTATTTATTTAATTTTGTCTTCCTTCATTTTAAAACTCTTAGCCACAATTTTAAAATTAATTTTTGTAACCTTATTCTTTTATATTCTTTCCATTAAAAATTTTTTAAATATACAAAAAAGAAACTCTGGTGAATGTCTACCTTGCAATAGCTCTTGCGAATAATGTGATGGTCCTTCAGAAAAAAACTGTACTATTTGCTCAAATAATTTAGTATTTTCACCTTAACTAAAATAATGCTTGAAAAAATGCAAGGAAGGTTAATTTTTTAACCAAGAAATTAATTAATGTGAATTAAGAATTTAGAATTGCTTGATTTATTCTGATTAAGAATAAAATCTATGCTAATTGTGTGAATTTGGTTATAGTTTGAATATATTTAATAATAATTGCGAATCTAATCTAAATATTCAATAAGTAGAAGATATATAAGAGTCTGTATAAAAGACGAATTAAATAAGAAATCTTTAATAATATAATAATTAATTTAGTGATATTCAATTATATACCCAAATAATTGATATCCTTTCAATAGCCAATATATCTTTAATACTAATTTCATCAATATTTACAAATTTTGGTTCAACTTTAGGATGGACTTTCATTCAAAATTAATAAATTATTGGTAATTATATTTTTTGTCCATATCTGATTTTACTACAAATGAACTAATATGAAATGAAGTCAAGCTACGCTCACCACTTATTTACTATTATTCCTAATTTATTTAAGTTTTTATCATCTGACAATCAAGTGCTGCTTCAATTTAATAATTAAAGCACTATACTAAAAATAGATGACTTTTGGAGTAGTTTCTTGATTAACTGCTTTTTACCTTTGATACTACTAGGAACATGTATTCTTTTTTTATTCATCTTTTTCTTAATTACAATTTCAAATAACAAAGAAGAGTAAACTCTAAGCTTAGCTTAAAGAATTTACAATTTTATAAAATGGAATGCTTTTGTTAACCTGTTCAGAATAATTGGTAGTTTTTTAATCCTAGATTCAATTTTTGTGTTATATTGGAAGAAAAATACTTCAATCACTGACTATGTTTTCAGCTCAGTTTTTATTGCTATTTATATACTACTTTATATATATTGGAGTTTAATTATTGGCTATTCGTACGATAAAATTAAATTTTAAAGTATAACCTAATACTCTACTTTAATCTAGTAAATAGAAGTTTCTAACATACTTCAAAGGATATTTTGGATATTATTTGAATGGAAAAAGATTATCATCACTGTATTCTAAGCATTTTTTATATTTGATCAAAATAAATCATAAATCACATGCTGGATTTAAATAGGTCTTAATTTTATATTTCTGATTTATCTTATTTGGAAAAGACCATTCCTAGAATATATAGCAAATATCATGATAATTGCATTAGAAATAGTCAATCTTGCCTTGATAATATTCCTTGGTATTATCATTCAGGAAACTAGTTCCAATCTGACATCTAATCTGATTTAAACTATACATTACTGTAAATATTTTTAGAACTAAAAACATTTATTAACAAATAAAATTAAATGTTAAATATTTTTTTATATTATTAAACAAACAGGTTACTTATTTACTATGATTGGCTTTATAGGGTTATCAATAATCTTTCAATTTTTTTATATAATATAAAAGATTTGCTATTATTTAAAAGGCCAATAATAAATATCTTCAATTAAACATGACTAATCTCTCGTAAAGCCTATTTCATATTAAGAAACTAAAGAAGAAAAATAAAATTAATTTTTTGAATTTTTATATTAATACAATTTCTAAAGTAAATCACAATGGCTAAGGAAAATCTAAACAGATAGAAAGTTTTAAAGAAATTATGAGATTTAAGAATGAAATAAAAACATAGCATAATTTATATAAAAATATTAAACTGTTTATACATATTTACTTATTCATCTATTTACTCCGTTTCTATTATCTTTGATAAGATAACAAATTATATTTACGCTTTATTCAACTTAAAAAAATTTATATTTTGTTTATTATTAAAATCTCTGAAGTAAAAAATAAAAATTTTAGCAGAGAGAGGTTTCGATCCTCCGACCTTTGAGTTATGAGCCCAACGCGATTCCACTTCGCCACCCTGCTAATTCTAAAATAATAAGAGATAGAATATGAAGTAGATCAACAAAATTCTCAAAAATAAAGCAAAATTAAAAATTTTATTTAAAATTTTTTTTCTTAATAAATTCAACATTTTTATTTTGTTGAATTAATTTTTTTCAAAAAAAATTTAATTAAAAAAAAATGATTTTTTAAATTATTCAAAAAGCAAAAATAAATTTAAAAACATAGAAAAAACAAATAATTCTTAAATAAAAATTAACAAATTTCTTAATTATTAAAAATAAAAAACAAACTTGTTTAATAAAGATTTAATTGATTAGATTTTAATTAAATCTAAAATATTTATTAATATTTTTTTTAGAAAATGTTTGCTTCATAAAATCAATTAAATATCAAAAAAGTAGTTTATTGATAACTAATCTTTTAAATTTATGAATTATATTTAGTAATTTTTTTTAAGCTTTCACATTAATTTTAGTCCTGTTTAAGAGCAGCTCTAATTTCACTAAATTTTAATAATTTCTTAGCTCTCTAAATAGATTTTATATTCCCTAATGGACAATATTGTTATCTCTTAAATCTATTTGTAAGATTTTTAAATTTTTAAATCGTTTAAATCCTTCTCCTATACTTAATAGGCCAACCTAGCCTATCTAATTTTTATTTAAAATTATATCTAAGCTCACTAAGTTTTAAATTGGTTATAGCCCATTACATAATCCAAATATTCCTTAATCATCTATGTTGTTTTAACTTAAAGAGAGAGTTAAACTACTTAGATTTATAATTTATCCTAATCCAAAACACAAATCTGAGACACCCAAAGAACCGATCTCATTTGATCTTAAATAGAGCGAAATATTTTTAAGGCTAGAACATCTCCCTATTCCACTTCCAATTTCACTTGCTCCTTACTGAAGAATTTTACTACCTACAATCTGCAATTCTAAATTAGTTAGAGTCTTAGTATTTTGTAATCCATTGAATAGATTGGAAAGTCCTTATTATCCAATAAAATTTAAATCAATTTGTAAAGTTTTTAAATTTAAACTATTTCCTAACCCGATACCTAAGCCAATCATTCCTATTTTATCAATATAATTATCAAACAAGTTAAGATTTAAATGTTTTAAATTTTGACAGTTTGCAAAAGAATTTCCTAAAAATGCTAATCCTTAACTTCTTATCTTATTTGAATATAAATTAAGATTTAAACAAGTCAAGCTTTTACAGCTTGATAATCGATTACTCAAATCAATAATTTTTTTCTTATTTAACTTATTTTTACTTAGTTATAATTAAAGATTAACAACATTTTAAGGACAATATTAAAGAAAAGTTTACAAGCAACCAAATTTTTAATTTTCTTATAGCATTTTTTTATTTTCTTCTTTAGCTTTATAATGTTTATTATTTATTAAAATTTAATTTATAAGTAGCCAAAATAAGGAAATTTAATCAAAATATTAGTCAAAATTTTATAACAGGATTCAAAGAAAAGTGGGTTTTGCTAGATTTTTGCTCATAAAATCATACTTTAAAGAAATCATTTTTATCAAAAACAGGTACATATTGTTTTGATGAGTTTTATTTCCTTCGGTTTCAAATTTATAAATTAACGCAAAAAATAAATATTTCAATTATATAATAAGTATTTGAAAATTAGAACTTTTCTATATTTCGGATCAGAATTTAATTTATATATTAATGAAATAGAATTTCTTTTTTATCAATAAAAAAAAGATTTAAAACCAAAAAATTAATTTATTCCCAAAAATTTAATAAATTATTTTGTATCAATATATAAATAAATCAATTAAATCATGAATACTTATATTTATATTTGCAATATAAAAAATGATCAATTTTAGATAATCAAATATAAATTAAATTTTATCAGCTTAACCATCTTTCAAAAAAATTGATTGGATTGACTCATGGCAATAAAGAAATTTTTTGAGCCTTGTTTATAAATAATTAATTAATTAGACTATCTATTCTAACTTATAAATACTAAATAATTTATATTTTTATTTACAAATCACATTTAGGTATAATTTGTTTTCCTACTCAAACTTTTCTAAATTAAAAAATAAATGTAAAAGTCATCCTTATTTAATTTAAAATTATAATTTATATTTAGTTATATCCAATTCAAAATTTAATTTTATCTATGAATTTATTGAATAATAATCTATTTTTTTATCTGAATTAAATATGTCATAATTAATATTTGTCTCTAATTCCTAATAATTATACCTAAAATCAAGAAGTTTAAACATTAAAAATAAAGAAAATCTTTTCTCTAAAATAAAATATTATTTTTAAAAATTAAATATTTATTTTATTCTTTTTTTGTTATAAACTATTCAATTTTAAAATCTTAATCTGCGAAAAATAAACTTTTTAAATTAAATAATAAAAAAATTAGAAAAATCTAATTTGATTTAAAAAGTTAATAAAAAAATACAATTTGATTTATCTTGTAGCTTTTTTTGTTAATATTTTATGTAATATATAAATGTAATTCTTCTAGTTTTATTACCTAATGATCAACGATATTTGATAATTAAATTAGATGAATTATTTTTTTCGAGTTACAATTAATTAAATAAATCTGATGAAAGCGTATCAGTCGACTTTTCTCTTTTAAATAAACTTACATTAATATTTTTTTAATCCAAGAATTAAGAATCTAAATTTTCAATATTTTATAAATCTGATAATTCGCTGCGTAAAATTATTTTATTTTTAAAACTCTTTAAAAAAATGAGTGAGTACTTACTTCTATTACAAAAATACAATTTTTTATTTCATTTAGTAATATGATGTATAAGAGGAATATCTTGCATGGCAGTACGTACATGATATGCATTCTTTCAAATGAGTTTTAATTCAAAAGAAAATACTGATAATTTAATCTTATTAATGTAACTTGGATAAGAGGTTATTAATTATCATAAAATAAAATACAAAAAATAGAAAACTTTCTCAAATTAATAATTATTGAATTTACATTATTTTTTTTTGTGGTTAAAATATGCAATACAAAATAATTGCGTGAAAAAATTAGATAAGAAACAAGATTATTTTTTAATAATAGATGGATTTGAAATGAAAAAAAATTAAATATTGGTAAATAATTTTGTTTCGAAAAGATTGATTAAGATAATAAAGATTATTTAGGAAAAACAAATCATTAAAGTTTATTAAAGTTAATAAAATAAGTTAAATAAATGGGTTTTATATTGATAGCGTTTATCTTCATTGAAATGATATTTATGATAAAAACAGAGTAAATAGCATAAATAAAGGTATTTTACTGTTCTTATAATCTAAAATATACTTTGTAATATATTTTTTTGAGCACTGAAGTACTTGCTTACTTGCTTTGTTATTTAACTAATAACAATAAATATTTTGAATACTCTTAAAACTACAAAATTTCTTATAAGAAAATGGAATTTATATTTGCATTTATTTATCTATAATTTTTTAATAAAATATTTAAACAAGCTTATTAATTTTCATTTAGCTCTTTTATATTAATTTATAATATTTATATTTAATATAAATAGACTTCTTTTAGATAGCTATAACCAAATTGCTAAAACGGAGAATATTTAGATTCGTAATTTAATACTTAATTAAAAATATAGTCTATAATTCTAAATAAATAGCATAAAGCATCTCAAGGATAAATTAATTCTCATTTTATTTTTCATAGCAATTTTCAAATTTATATTAATTATTTTTATCATTTATATCAAAAATAATTTTATAGTTAATTTTTTTTATTTATAAACACTTCAGATCATCTTGCAAACCTTGTATGCCAAACTGTGATAAATGTCAAAATGATAAATAATGTGACGCTTGTAGCAGTCAATATTATTTTGATTCGTAATTTTATATTTTATTAAAATCTAGTCTTTAATTCTAAATAAATAGCCCAAAGCATCTCAAGGATGCACTCATTCTCATTTTATTTTTCATAGCAATTTTCAAATTTATCTTAATTGTTTTTATAAAAAATAATTTTAAAGGTAATTTTTTTTATTTATTAACAATAAAAGATAAACTAATTAATGCTAATCTTGTATTCAAAACTGTCAGAGTTGTATAAACGGAAGTGAATGTCAAACTTGTTTAAGTCCATATTTAAAAAACAACGAGTAATTTACAAAGTTAATTAATGATTCCAAAATCCATAATGAGAAAATTCAATATTTAATTTAGTTAATAAAAATTACATTTCTTATGACTTATTAATAATTAATTAATTTATTTATTTATTTAAAAACAATTAAATAACTTTGAAATGCGAAACAATAAAATTTTTTTTTGATTTGATTGTATTCCATTTTTAATATTTTTTAAGATAGACACGAGTTTTAATAAAAATTTTTCAACGAAAATTAAGTAAAATGGAAATTTCTATTATTGTTTCATATTCTAAAGACAGACAGATGATTTTAAAGCAAAACATTAATTAAGTTTGATTAAAATTATAATAGAAATACTTTTACGACATGATTGCTAAAATATATATCAAGAATGATAAAATACCTAATATAATTTTTGAATCCTCTTAAAACAATAGATTTATTATTCAAAAAATCTAATTTTTCCAGCTTAAGTTTTCATTAAAAAAAAACATAGTATTTATTTAGAAAAGCCTTTATTTAAACTTATTATAAAATTTTAATATTTTATAAATAAATTATAAATGAAATGTAAAATTTATTCCCTAATTAATTAATTAATTAATATTTCTAACATAAAAATTATATTTTACATTTTTGACGCAGATTTATTTATATTTTTTTCTATAGATCTTACTTTTTAACTTAAAAATAAAAATATTCTTTAAATATTTCAAAAGTCTAGCTTGTGCAAACTGTATATAAGGATATTACTATGCATAAGACTAAACCTGTAAATAATGTGATTAATCTTGTAAAAATTGCTCTGGAGATAGTACTTAGTGTACTGAGTGCGTAGATGGATATTTTTTACAATAAGAGTAAACTTTTATTTAAAAAGAGTACAAGCAAAATTATTATTAAAATTAAAAGTCTAACTAATAATACAAACACTTGTAAGCCATGTGATGCTAGCTGTTAAACTTGCAGTAGTTTTAGTAGTTATTGTATTAAATGCAATTTAAATTACTTTCCACTTTACTAGTAATATTAAATTTAACTATAAATACCATAAAATAGACCTATAAATAAATAAAAAAATAAGAATCAATTTAAACAAAAAAGCGCAATAATATTTTACTTTTATTTTGGTATTAAATAATATTTTAGGTCTTAAATAATAATAAACTAAGTTAAATAATTTTTAATTAAAATTATATAAAAGTAATTAAAGTTTTTTAAACTAATGTACTTATTGTTAAGGAAGTGATAGATTTAAATAAAAAAATTAATGCTAACTATGTAATAGTTCTTGTAGTGCATGTTAGAATAATGAAGCTGATAATTGTACACAATGCTATCCTGGGTATTATTTGGATCACTAGACTTGTTAGCCATGTGATAGTACATGTAATGAATGCAGTGGCCCTAGCAAAACAGATTGTAAATCATGTAGGCAAGACAGTTACTTAAAAATGTATAAAATCATTAAATAAATTAAAATTTATTTCAAATATAATAAATAATTTTAAATAAAAAATACCTTTAAAAAGAGTTGATCATACTTGCTGGCCATGTGATTAATCTTGCTAAGGATGCACAGGACCAAAAAATAGTGATTGCTTAAATTGCAAAATTGGTTATTCTTTTAAAGAATAAATATGTATCAAGTGTGATATTACTTGTTAAAGATGTACCGGAACATCATCTACAGAGTGTAAAGAATGCTATAGTAACTTTTACTTAACTCCAGAGTAAATTTTAATGAAATAATTATTCATTATTTTATAAAAAATATATATGAACTTATTTACATAAAATTAAATTACTCTTAACTAAAATAAAGCAACAGATGTATTTCATGCTAACTAGATGGATGGTACAGAAGTGGATTATAGTGTTTGCAATGCTAATCACCTTGTTAAACATGCATAACCAAACCAAATTTTTGTTTAACATGTGAGACAGGATTGTATTTATTTCTAGGGTAATTAATTTTACAATTTATCAATTTTATTTACTTATTTAAAAAAATTTAAGAAATACCTGTGCACCATGCCATGAAGAATAATCATATTATAAAAAAGATATTTAATGTTTGAAATGTTCTTCAAACTGCTTGACTTGCTCACAAAACGAAGCAAATTGTTAAACTTGCTCTACTGGATAATATTTGACAAATGAGTAATTTTAAAAATTTAAATCTTTTAATACATTTTTGTTTATGTTTTATAGTAAAATACATTTTTTTTGTTCAAAATTTAGTAATAAATGCGTGGAATGCAATTAAAATGGATAATTTATCTCAGATAAGGCATGCAAAACATGTGATGTTACATGTTTAAAATGTAATGGAACATAAAGTACAAACTGCACAGAATGTAGAACAGGCTCATATTTATCCTAAAAGTAATAATGAATGAATGAATAAATAAATAAATAAATAAATAAATATGCGATAATTTACATCAATTTATTTAAATTTTTTAAAAACTATTTTTTATTTTTTTTGTAAAAATTTACTTAGCAATGAGTGTGTTCCATGTAATAAAGCCGGACAATATATATCTTAAACTAAATGTATATAATGCGATGTGTCCTGTACTAAATGCGATGAACTTGTAAATAGTCATTGTTCTTCTTGTGTTGATGGTTAATATTTAACTGTAGAGTAATATTTTTAGTGAAATTAAATTTTTTTAATTTATAGTTATTCGTTTTAAATAAATCAAAATTTATCAATAAATAAATAAGTAAATAAGTATTTTCTTGGCTAAGGTTCTGTTAATATTCTCTTTAAATTAGTTTTTTTAAATTAAATTTTTAATATAGTGACTAAAATCTAATTAATTAATCAGTTTGACCTTGCTGTTAATGACTTATTAAATTTATTTAACTTACATTTTACAAAAATAAATAATTTTGTTGATAAATTAAATTAAGAAATAATTTTTTAAATAGTTTCAAATGCACACCTTGTACTGACAATGGATTTTTTATCTCATAAAATTAATATTGTGTTTAATGTCATAGTACTTGTATAAAGTGTAAAGGAAATACTGAAAATGATTGTATAAAATGTCAAATAGGGCTTTACTTAAATGATAAGTAAGTTCAACATTTTTTTAAATTTAATTTTTTATTTATTTCACTATCAAAATTAATATCATAAAATTTTTTAGAAATTAGTGTGTTTCATGTAATTAAGATGGATTATTTATCAATGGAGGCAAGTGCTAATAATGTTATTAATATTGTGCTAGTTGCTCTGGGACTCAGATTACAGATTGCAAAACTTGTCTAGTAGGATATTATTTGATAAATAAGTAATTTTAATTTTTAATTTATTTAAATTTATCTTTTGATTTGATAAAAATATTTATTTTATATTTAATTAGCAATTCATGTGTAAAATGCGACTAAGATGGATAATTTATATCAGGTATATAATGTAAAAACTGTCATAGTTCATGTCTAAAATGTAATGATATAAATAAAACTAATTGTACCTAATGTAGGTCAAATTTATACTTGTCTTCAAAGTAATCAAATGAAGCATTTATTTTTTATATTATTTAATGATTTAAATTCTTTTTTTTTCAATTTATAAAAGTAATGAATGTGTAGCATGCGATCAACCAGGGCAATCAAAGTTTGGAACTTAATGTATTTAATGTGACTCCTCATGTCTAACCTGTGATGGAACATAAAATACTAATTGCTTATCTTGCACTAATGATAAATACTTAACTCCAAAGTAATTATTCTAGTCTAACTTAATTGTTTAGATTTATTATTAATTAATTATCCTCATTAATTAACTCAAAAAATTAAAGTGAAGCTTTTAAATTTTTTCAATAAAATTATTTTTGAACTTAATCATTTTGAAAAGAAGCTAATTAATTTTATTTAATTCAAATTTTAAAAAAATTGTCTTCGTCTGTCTGTAAAAATGTTTTCAAATAATTAATTCTTCTTTTATTTTAAATGCTTAATGAAAAAATCCATTTTATTTATTTATTTATAAACATACAGAAAATAATGCACATCTTGTACTGATGATGGATATTTTATATCCTCTTAAAATTAATGTTAAGAATGCGATAAAACATGTTTGAAATGCAAAGGAACAACTTCTAAAGATTGTCTTACATGTCCAATAGGCAAATATTTATATGAAGAGTAAATTTTATTTTTTAATTTTTCATTGTTTAGCAAATCATTTATATTTTCATCAAACTTTAGTAATTAGTGTATTTCTTGTGATCCAAATGGATTCTTTATAAGTGAAAATAAGTGCTTTAAATGTGATTCTTCTTGTCTTACATGCAAAGGAACTGCAAATACTGATTGTCTATCATGCAGCAAAGGTTAGTATTTGTTAGTCAGGTAAAAATTAATTTAATTAAAAGAATTACTATTGATTATTCTATCTACAATTTAAAAAATAAATAAATTTCATTAATAAGTTATAAATTCATTAATTTTTTCATTATTTTAAAAAAACTTCTTTTTTATTTTAGCTAAATTTTTTATAATTTAATGAATTACTTTCTAAATTTAGCTAAAAAGAACTAAAATCAAATTTCTAATTTTAACTTTATAGTAATAGTACTTGCGTAAGCAGCTGTAATACAAAGAATGGATACTTTATCTCAGGCGATAAATGTATTCAATGTGATAAAACTTGCAAAACTTGTAGTGGAGAATTAGAGACGAACTGTTTATCTTGCGTTTTTGGTTTAATCTTTTAGCCTAGTTTTAATATATGTGATAAATGCGAAGAAGGATAATTTTTAAATAAATCGACTAATGAGTGTGAATATTGTGATAAAACTTGTCTAACCTGCATTGGAACAAATAAAAACTAATGCAAAATATGTGCTGATGGATTAACTTTAAGTAAAGTTACAAATACTTGTGAAAATAGTACTGCAATTAAAAACTAATAAGAGTAAATAAAGTAAATCTAAAAAGTAGGTTGCTTAAATAAATAAAGTAAATCAGATTCAGATTGCATGTAAAGAATTGATACCAGTGAGTCTTAAATCTAAATTTTAAATGTTTTAAATATTTGCAACATTGTGGTATTAATCCTTTCTTCTGCATTTACACCGTTTGGAACTTCAATTGGCTAGATTTTTTTATAAAACTCTTAAATTATAGGAAATTACATTTTTGCTTCAAAACTTTATTCTCTTTGGATGAACTAATTTGAGCTGAAAACTTATTATGCATATCACGTGTATACAATTATACCTAATATGTTTAAATAATCAACTGGAGTTACTCTATTCTCATTTTAAATGTTTAATACTCTTATACAAATTAATGATTTTAGTGATAGCTATTTTAACAACTGCTTTTTATCTGTTTTAACTTTAGGAATCATTATAATTGCTACTATAATAATTTTTTTTAGTGTTTAATCTGCTATTTTTAGAAATACTTAGATAAGCTCTTAAAACAGCAAACTGTATTAAATATATTCCTATATTAAATGGAATCTATTTGTCCATTTTTTTAGAATCTCTTCTAGCTTTTTCGTTTTTAACGCTGTTTATATACTAAAATACCAATTTCACCTTGAAAAAATAGACTTGATTTTAATAGCTATTTCGATACCTGTATATTTAATTTTACAATCCCTGTGGAGCATCAAAATTGGATTTAAATTCTATTAAATATCTTCAAATGATTTGGCCTCCATAGATAGTTTAACTCAAAAAATAGAAATATCTGATCAATTTTCTAGAATTTTTTGGATAGTATTTGAATGGAAAAAAATTTTTATTACTGTAATCTAATCAATTTTTATATTTACTGATGATAAATAGCATCTAAGCTGCTGGATTCACTCTGCTTTGAATGTTTTGTTTGTAGTTTACGTCACTATTAAATAACCGTTTTTAGAAAAAAAAATTAATTATTTTGTAGTATTATAAGAAATTATCTATACAGTATTAGCTATTCTAATAGGTATCATCTTAGCATAAGACAATGGTTTAAATCCTTAGAATGTTCCTAGTTTATCACAAAATATGCAATCAAGTAAGTAATATATAAAATTTTAGATAATTCAAATATTTTTTAAATAGTATTTAGGTATTTGAGCTTTGGATTATTAGGAGGAATGATGATATCTTAATTATTTATGATCTTGTAAAGGCTATATAATTATATTTAACAGGTTCTATTTTAAAGAAAAGTAAGAGGAACAAATAACACTACAACTTAATAAATAGAATAATTTAATGACACTAATATTAACTAAATATTTGAAATGTTAGATTAGAAAAAAAATAAAATTGATTGGAAAAGATTTTGAATGGAAAATAAAAAAATATCTATAATAATAAATATTTCTCAATTAAATTACTTAAAATATTCTTCAAGAAATTATAATTTAAAAACAAATCTACGAATTAGTCATTTTAATGTAAAAAAAGCAAAAGATCTATTAATATTTATTTAGTTTTAATTGTTTTCAAACAAAGAAAAATATTGAAATAAACTTTAAAGACAATATTTAAATTAAGTAAGCTTTATATAATTTTATTTTTGAAACATCCAAAATTATTTCTTACATTGATAAGAAAAATTAAAAAAATTAAAGCTTATTTTGATTGATTATTAATTAAAAAGTTCGTATGTGTATATATTATATGAAGTAATTGATAAATAATGAAAAAGGATTTTAAACTTAACAAATTTATTTAATTTTTGGATATTTGAAACTTTCAGATACAGTAATTGACATAAGTAGTGAAACAGTTGAAAATACTTCTGATAGTTTAAATAATATAATATCAAATATTTCTAGTATTACAGATATTTTTAAATCTTAAAATTTTTATTTTTTAGGAATATTTGTTTATATTTTATGTAATACATGTAATGTAGTTCTTCTAGTTTTATTACCTAATGATCAACGATATTTGATGGTTAAATTAGATGAATTATTTTTTTCGAGAATATAATTAATTAAATAAATCTGATGAAAGCGTATCTATCAGTCGACTTTTCTCTTTAAAATTAACTTACATTAATATTTTCTAATCCAACAAAATTACGAATCTAAATTTTCAATATTTTATAAATCTGATCCTTCGCTGCGTAAAATTATTTTATTTTTAAAACTCTTTTAAAAAATGAGTGAGCACTTACTTCTATTACAAAAATACAATTTTTTATTTCATTTAGAAATTTGATATAGAAGAGGAATATCTTGCATGACAGTACATACATGATATGTATTCTTTCAAATGAGTTTTAATTCAAAAGAAAATGCTTATAATTGAATGATATTGATGTAACTTGGATAAGAGGTTATTAATTATCAAAAAATAAAATACAAAAAATTGAAAACTTTCCCAAATTAATAATTAATTAATTTACATTATTTTTTTGATGGTTAAAACATGCAATCCAAAATAATTGCGTGAAAAAAATTAGATGAGAAAAAAGATTGATTATTTTTGAATTATTGATGGATTTGAAATGAAAAACCATTAAATATTGGCAAATAATTTTGTTTCGAAATGATTGATTAAGATAATAAAGATTATTTAGGAAAAACTAATCATTAAAGTTTATTAAAGTTAATAAAATAAATTAAATAAATGGGTTTTATTTTGATAGCGTTTGTCTTCATTGAAATGATATTTATGATAAAAACAGAATAAATAGCATAAATAAAGGTATTTTACTGTTCTTATAATCTAAAATATACTTTGTAATATATTTTTTTGAGCACTGAAGTATTTGCTTACTTCCTTACTTAGTTATTTAACTACTAACAATAAATATTTTGAATACTCTTAAAACTACTAAATTTCTTATAAGAAAATGGAATTTATATTTGCATTTATCTATAATATTTTAATAAAATATTTAAACAAGCTTATTAATTTTCATTTAGCTCTTTTATTTTAATTTATTATATTTATATTTAAAATAAATAGACTTCTTATAGATAGCTATAAATTATTTGCAATCAGGGATAATATTTAGATTTGTAATTTAATACTTAATTAAAAATATAATCTATAATTCTTAATAAATAGCATAAAGCATCTCAAGGATACATTCATTTATTCTCATTTTATTTTTCATAGCAATTTTCAAATTTATCTTGATTATTTTTATCAAAAATAATTTTAAAGTTAATTTTTTTTATTTATTAACAATAAAGATAAACTCGTTAATGCTAATCTTGTATTAAAAACTGTCAGAGTTGTATAAACGGAAATGAATGTCAAATTTGTTTAAGTCCATATTCAACAAACAACGCGTAATTTACAAAATTAATTAATGATTCCAAAATCTATAATGAGACAATTCAATATTTAATTTAGTTAATAAAAATTACATTTCTTATGACTTATTAATAATTAATTAATTTATTTATTTATTTATCTATTTAAAAACAATTAAATAACTTTGAAACAATAAAAATTTTTTTTTGATTTGATTGTATTCTATTTTTAGTATTTTTTAAGACATACACTAGTTTTAATTAAATTTTTTCAAAGAAAATGAAGTAAAATGGAAATTTCTATTATTGTTTCATATTCTAAAGACAGACAGATGATTTTAAAGCAAAGCATTAATTCATTTTATTAAAATTATAATAGAAATACTTTTTCAACATGATTGCTTAAATGTAAATCAAGAATGATAAAATAACTAATATAATTTTTGAATCCTCTTAATTCAATAGATTTATTATTCAAAAATCTAATTTTTCCAGCTTAAGTTTTTATTTAAAAAAACCTAGTATTTATTTAGAAAAATATTTATTTCAACTTATTATAAAATTTTAATATTTTATAAATAAATTATAAAGAAATATAAAATTTATTCCCTAATTAATTAATATTTCTAACATAAAAATTATATTTTACATTTTTGACGCAGATTTATTTTTATTTTTTTCTTTAGATCTTATTTCTTAACTTAAAAATAAAAATATTCTTTAAATATTTTAAAAGTCTAGTTTGTGCCAACTGTATATAAGGATATTACTAGGCATAAGACTAAACCTGTAAATAATGTGATTAATCTTGTAAAAATTGCTCTGGAGGAGATAGTACTTAGTGTACTGAATGCATTGATGGATATTATTTAGAAAAAAAGTAAACTTTTATTTAAAAAGAGTACAAGCAAAATTATTATTAAAATTTAAAGTCTAACTAATAATACAAACACTTGTAAGCCATGTGATGCTAGCTGTTAAACTTGCATTAGTAATAGTAATAATTGTATTACATGCAAATAAGATTTCTTACCACTTTACTAGTAATATTAAATTTAACTACAAATACCATAAAATAGACCAATAAATAAATAAAAAAATAATAATTAATTTAAACAAAAAAGCACAAAAATATTTTATTTTTATTTCGGTATTAAATAATAATTTAGGTCTTAAATAATAATAAACTAAGTTAAATAATTTTAAATTAAAATTATATAAAAGCAAAACTACTTTTTAAAACTAATGTACTGATTGTCAAGGAAGTGATAGATTTAAATAACCTGGTTAATGCTAACTATGTAATAACTCTTGTAGTGCATGTTAGAATAATGAAGCTGATAATTGTACGCAATGCTATCCTGGGTATTATTTGGATTAATAAACTTGTAAGCCATGTAATAGTACATGTAATGAATGCAGTGGCCCTAGTAATAAAGAATGTAAATCATGTAAGCAAGACCGTTACTTAAAAACGTATAAAATCAATAAATAAATTAAAATTTATTTCAAATATAATAAATCATTTTAAATAAAAAATACCTTTAAAAAGAGATGATAATACTTGCTAGCCATGTGATTAATCTTGCTTAGGATGTAAAGGACCAAAAAATAGTGATTGCTAAAATTGCAAAACTGGTTATTCTTTTAAAGGATAAATATGTATCAAGTGTTTTGATATTTGTTAAAGATGTACCGGAACATAATCTACAGAGTGTATAGAATGCTATCTTGGCTATTACATAACTCCAGGGTAAATTTTAATGAAATAATTATTCATTAATTTACAAAAAATATATTTGAACTTCTTTATATAAAATTAATTTACTCTTAACAAAAATTAAGCAAGAGAGTAATAATTAATGAATGAATAAATAAATAAATATGTGATAATTAACATCAATTTATTTAAATTCTTTAAAAACTATTTTTTATTTTTTTTTGTAAAAATTTACTTAAGCAATGAGTGTGTTCAATGTAATAAAGCCGGACAATTTATATATTCAAACAAATGTGTTTAATGCGATGTGTCCTGTATTTAATGTGATGAATTTGTAAATAGTAGATGTATTTCTTGTGTTGCTGGTTAATATTTAACTTTAGAGTAATATTTTTAGTGAAATTAAATTTACATCATTTAAAGTTATTCGTTTTAAATAAATCAAAATTTATCAATAAATAAATAAGTATTTTCTTCGCTAAGGTTCTATTAATGTTCTCTTTAAATTAGTTTTTTAATTTAAATTTTTAAAATAATGACTATTAATTAATACAGCTTGACCTTGCTGTTAATGACTTATAAAATTTATTTAACTTAAATTTTACAAAAATAAATAATTTTGTTGATACATTAAATTAAATTATTTTAAGAAATGCTTTTTTAAATAGTTCTAAATGCACACCTTGTACTGACAATGGAGTTTTTATCAAAAATTCACAATGCCTTTAATGTCATAGCTCTTGTATGAAATGTAAAGGAACTACAGAAAATGATTGTATATAGTGTCAAATAGGGCTTTACTTTAATGAAAAGTAAGTTCTCTTTTTTTTTTAATTTAATTTTTTATTTCTTTCACTACCATAATTAATATCATAAAAATTTTTTAGAAATTAGTGTGTTTCATGTAATTAAGATGGATTCTTTATCAATGGAGACAAGTGCTAATAATGTTATTAATATTGTGCTAGTTGCTCTGGGACTCAGATTACAGATTGCAAAACTTGTCTAGTAGGATATTATTTGATAAATAAGTAATTTTAATTTTTAATTTATTTAAATTTATCTTTTGATTTGATAAAAATATTAATTTTATATTTAATTAGCAATTCATGTGTAAAATGCGACTAAGATGGATAATTTATATCAGGTAAATAATGTAAAAACTGTCATAGTTCATGTCTAAAATGTAATGGTATAAATAAAACTAATTGTACCTAATGTGGGCCAAATTTATACTTATCTTCAAAGTAATCAAATGAAGCATTTATTTTTTAAATTATTTAATGGTTTAAATACTATTTTTTTCAATTTATAAAAGTAATGAATGTGTAGCATGCGATCAACCAGGGCAATCAAAATTTGGAACTTAATGTATTTAATGTGACTCCTCTTGTCTAACCTGTGACGGAACATAAAATACTAATTGCTTATCTTGCACTAATGATAAATACTTAACTCTAAAGTAATTATTCTAGTCTAACTTAATTGTTTAGATTTATTATTAATTAATAATACTCATTAATTAACTGAAAAAAATAATGTGAAGCTTTTAAATTTTTACAATAAAACTTTTTTTGATCTTAATCTTTTTGAAAAGAAGCTAATTAATTAATTTTATTTAATTTAAATTGTTAAAAATTTATCTGTATGCTCTAAAAATGTTTTCAAATAATTAATTCTTTTTTTATTTTAAATGCTTAATGAAAGAAAAAATCTGTTTTATTTTTAAACTTACAGGAAATAATGCACATCTTGTACTGAAGATGGATATTTTATATCATCTAAAAATTAATGTCTTGAATGCGATCAAACATGTTTGAAGTGTAAGGGAACAACTTCTAAAGATTGTCTTACATGTCCAATAGGCAAATATTTATATGAAGAGTAAATTTTATTTTTTAATTTTTAATTATTTAGCAATTCATTTATATATTCATCAAACTTTAGCAATTAATGTATTTCTTGTGATCCCAATGGATTCTTTATTAGTGAAAACAAGTGCTTCAAATGTGATTCTTCTTGTCTTACATGCAAAGGAACTGCAAATACTGATTGTCTATCATGCAGCAAAGGTTAGTATTTGTTAATCAGGTAAAGATTAATTTAATTAAAATAATTATTATTGATTGCTCTATTTGCAATTAAACAAACAAATAAATTTCATTAATAAGTTATAAACTAATTAAATTCTTCATTATTTTAAAAAACCTTCTTTTTTATTTTAGCTAAATTTTTTATAATTTAATGAATTACTTTCAAAATTTAGCTAAAAAGAACTAAAATCAAATTTCTAATTTTAACATTATAGTAATAGTACTTGCGTAAGCAGCTGTAATACAAAGAATGGATACTTTATCTCAGGCGATAAATGTATTGAATGTGATAAAACTTGCAAAATTTGTAGAGGAGAATTAGAGACGAACTGTTTATCTTGCGTTTTTGGTTTAATCTTTTAGCCTAGTTTTAATAAATGTGATAAATGCGAAGAAGGATAATTTTTAAATAAATCGACTAATGAGTGTGAATATTGTGATAAAACTTGTTTAACCTGCATTGGAACAAATAAAAACTAATGCAAAATATGTGCTGATGGATTAACTTTAAGTAAAGTTACAAATACTTGTGAAAATAGTACTGCAGTTAAAAATTAATAAGAGTAAATAGAGTAAATCGAAAAAGTAGGTTGCTTAAATGAATAAAGTAAATCAGATTCAGATTGCATGTAAAGAATTGATACCATTGAGTCTTAAACCTAAATTTTAAATGTTTTAAATATTTGCAACATTGTGGTATTAATCCTTTCTTCTGCATTTACACCGTTTGGAACTTCAATTGGCTAGATTTTTTTATAAAACTCTTAAATTATTGGCAATTACATATTTGCTTCAAAACTTTATTCGCTTTGGATGAACTAATTTGAGCTGAAAACTTATTATGCATATCACGTGTATACAATTATACCTAATATGTTTAAATAATCAACTGGA